TTTCTGAAGAAGGGTCTAGGCCCGAAATGTCAGCCTTCCTGCTCCTCTGATGCTGCTTGGCCTGCTGTGTTCATCCAGCTCTACACCTTGTTATATCAAATCTCTCAAGCCTTTTTAGGTAATTTTGTACTTTCAGCAACCATTTTGTGTTGATAGAATGAATATTATGTATGAAAATGCCTGATAATACTTCAGTGCATTTTGAGTATAGTTCCCATGTACAGTCATATCCTTTCAACACCCAGCCTGCACAGCGTTACAGGGCTCTGTTGGCCTGCCTGTTACAGCTCAGAGCTCCATCCTGCCTGTCTGAAGCCCAGATGGTGCTCCAGTTCCGATTTAATTGCAGTGTCGTTCTCAAAGCAATCTATTGTCTCAGACAGTGCTCCTTCTCTCTCTCTCTCCCGCACCCCCCAACCGAGAAAACAATTCATTCGCAATTAATTTCATTACCTTGCTGCAAGATTCGGATTAAAAAATTGCATCTTTTCCAGACGAGACAAAGCCTGACCAGGCTCAGAGGGGAATATTTGTATTTTGTTCAAATTGGTAAAAGGTAGATAAAAATGCTGATACATTGATTCAAGTGAAGCACATTGATTGTAGTTAATAGTGACAGTAGCCCCGTGGGAAATGACTGGGGTTCCGGCACTGCTGCTAGAGTCAAGAGATTCCATTCACTGTTTTAGCAGCTAGTCTTTGATCCCCATGGAAATGTGACATCTACCAGGAGGACCAAGTACAATGCCTCTCCTTACGGAACAGGCGGAAGCTCATTTGTATTATTGAGATATTACATGTTATGAAGTAGCCACTTCAGAGAGAGAAAGGCCAAAGTCCCATTATTGTTTGTGTACATCTGGTTATATTCTTCTAAGTCTGTTTATATTCAAAGCACAGTCAATTAAAATGGTGAGTTTATTGACCCAGCTTCTCCAATAAGGTGCCATTCAACCTTTGTTGCTTTCCCCGAGTGATCATCCCTCATACTGAAGCTTGTATGTGCGTACAGTGGCACAGACATAACCATCGCCATCCCTGGGTTTGTCCTGTTCCTGTGGTGGCACAGTCAGGAGGCAGTTGCCTTGGAAGTCCTCAATGTCGACTCGTACCCTGGCTCAAAGGAAGGTGGTTGTGGTTTTTGGAAGTCAGTCATCTCAGCTCCAGGACATCTCTGAAGGAGCTCCCTAAGGTAGCGTCCTGTGTCCAACCATCTTCAGATGCTTCATCAGTGACCTTCCCTCCATCATAAGATCAGAAGTGAGCAGGTTTGCTCATGATTACAAAGTGTTTAGCATCATTTGCAACTCAAGGCAGTGCTTGACTGAGTATGGCATCAGAGAGCTCCAGCACTATGGACTACACTGCTTCAAGTGCTGACATTCAGAGTCAGAGATTATGAGAAGAGAAATCAGTTTTAAAAAAAAGCTTTTCTGTTGCTAACTGTTACATGCATTTAATGGGGTAGACGTGGGGGAGTAGGGGAATTGGGGCTCACCACAGTGAATGGCAGCAGTGGGGCAAAGCCAAGATTGACCAATTCTCTGATCCTGACTGCACCAACACACAAGGACAGCCACTTGTGAAATGCCCAGAGCCTGCAGGGATCTCACTGCCTTCGGGAAAGGAAGGGCAAGACTGACAAAGAGGGAAAAATATTTTGGGTTACTTATTAAACAGCAATGGGTAAGGCAGTTATATTATGTTAAACATTGTTAAACAACAATGGGTGTGGTATAAATGGTAAGCTATGTTAATTTTAGGAAGAGTGAAACTAGGAAAGAGGAAAATGCTTGTCATGATAGTCGTTGAACAACGATGGGTAATCCTGTGTTAATTTTACAGAAGTGTGGTTCTAGTGTGGGAATGTCAATATTTATCTGAGCTAACAGGGGTCCTACCTGCCATCTTGAGAGCTGGGTCATGTTGTCCCCTTTGAGGAAGCTCCAGTGAATGAAGTGCCACTGAACTGGGCAGCAGAACCCCCCTCGTGCCCCGGAGATGCTGGGCAATCCGAGGCCAGCAGCTCTGTGTTGCTGGGGAATGCCCGCTGGAGGGGTGGTTGCTGAGGCCCAGCGTCACTGAGGGCCCTTGGCTGCATGTGAGGTGTGAGTGAGAATGGTATAGAGGTCCCGGGGTGGAGGCAGGCTGTATGGTGGGGGAACAAGTGTCTGCAATGGGGGCCAGGAGCGCGACTCTCAGTGCCCCATCCCCGTAACATAAGATGGAATTTAATCTGGACAAATGCAAGGTGATGCATTTTGGAAGGTCGAATGCAAGAGGGAGGAATACAGTAAATGGCAGAACCCTTAGAAGCATTACCATACAGCGATTTCTAGGCCTGCAGGTCCACAGTTCCCTGAACGTGGCAGCACAGTGGATAAGGTGGTCAAGAAAGTGTATGGCAAGGTTAACATTATCAATCAGGGCATAGATTGTGAAAATTGGCACGTCATATTGCAGCTGTATAAAAACTTTAGTTTGGCCACATTTGGAATATTGCATGCAGTTCTGGTCTCCACACTACAAGAAGGATGTGGAGGCTTTGGAGAGAGTGCAGAAATGGTTTACCAGGATGTTGCCTGTTTTGGAGAGTATTAACATTGTGGAGAAATTGGATAAACTTAGTTTGTTTTCACTTGAAAGTTGAAGGATAAGGGGTGACCTGACAGAAGTTTACAAAATTATGAGAGGCTTGAATAGAATGGATAGTCAGCCTTTTTCCCAGCGTAGAAATGTCATTTAGTAAGGAACATAGGTTTAAGGTAAAGGGGGGAAAGTTGAAATGTGCTTCAATTAATTAATTCTAGCAACAGTGCTCCTTATTTCTGATGAATAAGTTCCTGGGTCCTCTATTCTAACCATTGACGAGCAAAATTGTAACCAAATACGAGCTTTTTTATTTCTTTTGTATTCTGTGGATCACAAACATTGGCATTGCCCTGAGGTGAATGCGATAGGCTATTTCAGGAATCATTAGATACTCGTGAAAACGTGAAAACCACTTTGTAAGCAGGATGCATTTTGAAATTAAATAAGTACAATCCAAAGATTGTGTGGGACTGGTCACCTAATATTGACCATGATTCATATATTTGTTTCAGAGCCACTGCTGTTGTTGTAGCCCATTGCATATCTCATTAATGTCCAGGCCATGTATTCAAGCTGACTGAATAATAATTCCACTTCATGAGGCAGGGAGAGCACTTTATCCATTTCTATGGGCCTCAGGCTGGGGCCTAAACTAGCCTCAGGTTCAGGCCTCAATGTTGCCCTACTTTAGTTTGTTTGCTCCTGGTAGCCCTGAGGCTGATTGAGCTATTGGGAATGTAGGTCTGCTGGTGGGACAGGGACCATAACTAGAGGTGTGAGGAGAGAGGAGCTTAGGACATCAGAGGCCCCGCATTATTCTTGTAGAGCTTTCCCTTCCTCCTCTGTCCCTCCAGCGGCTTGTCCAAATAAAGGATTAGCAAAACAAAGTGTAATTTCTGAGCCTTCCTCTCCAGAGCACTTTGCACCTGGAGTATGGAATTCAACCACTGCACAGCAATGAATTGCAAATTTTAAGCAGCCTTGCACCTTCAGGCCAGCCCCAGTGTTTCATCTGCTCTCAGATCTTCCTCCTCCCATTCTCTCAGCTGCAAAATGGCCGGCTGTAAGAGCAATTTTTCCCATCCTACCAATGGAAGCTGACATAATGTACACCGTAGATTCTTAGCAATGAGACTCTAAGCCCATTCAGCCACCAGTAGAATACCAGCAAGTGGAAGTTACTACAAAAAACAGAATCTTCCGTTCTTGTCTGCTGTCTTGCTCAATTTCTGGAAAGTTGGCATGGTGACTAATCAGAATAAGGTCTGTTGTATCTTTCTCCAATCAGGGCGATCATGGAGCTGGAGGAGTAAGGTCAGGGAGATGGTCCTTAATGGCTATTCTCTACCCCATATCCAGTTCCATGTTTGTGTAAAAATTAGTCTGTGGGATCCCCTCCTCCCTCAGCCACCAATTGACGGGTTGTCCTCACTGGTTTACCCATTAGGAGAGCCAGCTCTTTCTGGTTATCACACTCGGAGTGCCAATATCTTGTGGTGTACCTTCAGGGCTATTACTTCTTTTGTGAAACATACCATTAAATGAATTTTCAACAAATTCTCTCCAATGCAGGGGAATAGGTTGACATTTGCCTTTGTTCTTTCACCTGTGCCCCATAAGGGGGATCCTTCACCAGCACCAGGTCATGGTGCAGTGTTTGCAGAACTCTGGATGAGATTGCCGATAGATTTATCCTGACAGATAAGCTGTTGACCACAATGCCTCCACTCCAACATCGAAACTATAGGTTTACTAAAGTCTGTACAGGTTCCAATAACATTCCAGTGAGGGAAGCAACCTCTAGGATCACGCCTTCCACCAAGCGCCGCTGCCCAGAATGGGTTGCACAGGCCTTATTCCTCTTCCTCCAGTGTTGGTAGAACATTCTGATGTGTATACTTAATGGAAATAAAGAAACCAGTTTATCTTTTCATTCTTATCTTCTCAACATTTTGCAGAAAATTGTGTTTTGCCCTGTAATTGGCCACTTTGTTAGAGATGCTGTTAAGTGTGGATTGGTTGAACGTATTTCTCTGGGTTTCTGCCTGTGAGGATGTTGTAGCTGTGGCAAGTCTGTTTGTCAGAAATGTTCCAGAGAGATAACCCTAAGCAACCCCTGGTGGCACCTGTAGAGACTGGAAGGTTGTGCATTTACACAGCGCTACCTTCACTTAGTCAATAGGCTTACATTCACGTTTATAAACAGTGCGCGAATAAATGGTATGAGAGTACATATGTCCTGATTAAGTTTTATTCTGTTTGCAGGATGGAAAGGTTATTGTGTGGGATGCTTTCACAACCAACAAGGTAAGTTCCAAATTGCATGAACAGATTGACTCCACAATTTTCTAATTATATGGTGTTGCAAGCTGTGATTTTAACAAGTTAGCAAACTCCCAAAATATCCTGATCCTAACTCCTTTGTGCCTTTGAGCAGATCTCCAGTTTCAGTGGCTCATTTCCATTACAATGGAGGCAGGGGTGTTGCAATTAGCCTCAATATTGTGAGGAAGGGGATGGACAGACAACTATCAAAACACATCCACAGTGTCACACACTCGCACACTCACACTCACACCCGCACACTCACTCACACCCACAGATACGCTCTTACAACCACACTCTCTCTCTCACACACACACATGCTCACAACCACACTCTCTCTCTCTGTCTCTCTCTCTCACCCATACACTCACACCCACACACTCACACCCACATACTCACACATATCCACACAAACAAACCAAACACACGCATACACGCTCACACAGACATACCCACATACACTCACACACACACACTTACACATCTACACACACCCACCCACACACATACATATACAACGACACATAGACACATACACACACACATGCCCCTCCCACACACAACCCCCCCATGAACACACCGACACCCACACATACTCCATCACAAACTGCACTCATTATATATATATATATATATATATATATATATATATATACACACACACACAGCCTGTATATAGGATGTGCCTTCATACATACACACATTACCTTCATGTACATATACGCACACAGCCCTTACATAGGCTCTGCCTGTGTACATGGTTACACACTATCTACCTTCCCCTTCCCATTGATACACATGAATTTCATTGACGCACAATGCCTTCACAAACTCATCTCACACCCACACACACAGTAATCCCTTTAACTGAACGTATTGAAAAGTGTACAATTGGACTGCTGAGCAGTTCAAACATTATTTAGTTTGAAATCTATCTGGGCCCTGCACCCGCTTTCACTGCCCGTCTGTTTCACAGAGTTACTCTGGTCAGACTGGTGGCCAGGCTCTAGAAGCCAGGGGATTGGTTCTTGCTGTTGTTGTTGCTGTATTGCCCGTGATGATAATTGTCTCTCCTGTGTTTCCTGCAATGCTTCTGCTTCCAGTTCTTGGTGTAGGCTGAGGCTTAAAGGGGATCAGAAATCTTGAACCCGCAGCTCAGGCCAAAATTCCTTTCTTCCACTTGTGGAATTCAAGGTTTGCTGTTTGTTTTCTCTGAGCCCGGTTTATGATGGCTGTTTGCCTGATTAGTAACGGTGCATTTTGCAGGAACATGCAGTGACCATGCCCTGTACCTGGGTGATGGCTTGTGCTTATGCCCCATCAGGCTGTGCTGTTGCATGTGGGTGAGTACAGTCTCTTTTAACATGAACTTTCATATTATCCATTAACAATTTTCCCATTCCGTGAGCAGCCAGTACACTCTCAATTCTATGGCAGCATTTCCAATTGTAAAGTCAGCCAGGTGTTTATTAAAATCAGCTTCCAGGGCTTCTCTGGCCCTTACTTTAGGATGGGAAAGGTTGAACAGGCCAGGCTTGTTTCCACGTTGTTTACAAGTTCGGGGAGGGGGACTTGTTTTGAAGGGTATAAGATCTTGAATGGTCTTGACAAGACAGATGAGGAATGGATGAGGAATCAATCCAGATCTAGAGGGGGCACTAATTTAGGATCAGGATGAGTCCCTTTCAGGTCAGACATGAAGGTTTCTTTTTGCTCTCTGATGGTTGTACAACTTTGGAACTCTGTGCCTCAGAAAGCTGTGGAGGTAGGGTTATTGAGCGTTTTCAAATCAGAAGAAGATAGGTTCTTGTTAGGCAGGAGAATCAAGGATTATTTGGGGTCGATGGGAGAGTGGGATTCAAAACACTCAGGCTGATCAGCCATAATTTTGTTGCACGATGGAGAAGGTTCAAGGGGCTAAATGGCCGACTTCTGCTCCCATCTTGAATGTCGACCTGCTTTTGTTTTCCTTATATTTTGTTCAATCATCTCTATGAAGTCCCAGAGAAGATCAATTAGCTAAGAAAGAGCTTTGCTATCACTCTGTAGAACTGCAACCAAAAGTCCTGTGTTTGATTTGTTGACATCCCTACAGCCAAGGCTCTGTGGTCAGTTCCCATTGCAGTATCTGGTACATCCAGCAAAAGGACCACTTCAGTAAAGGCCATTCCATAGCAGATGCTTTCTAATGCAAGATGGACAATATTGTTGAAAATAAATATTTTCTGGCAGATAGTATGCACTCGAGACCCTTCCTGGAAGCAGGGTAAATCAATTTTTAAATTTGCCAGTGGCCCTGGAGAGAAGCAAGAGTGGTCAGTGCTACAGGCCACTCATACCTTCATCCTTTGTCCTCCACTGTCACACAATAATGATCAAGCTTCTGCCTTTGGTGATTATTGCTCGCAGGTTCCTTTCTTTTTTGATGCCTCTTACCTCTTGGCAAAGTGACTGGTGAAACTCAGTGGAAATTGCAGCAAGATTGTAATACTCCAGCTGGTGAGAACAGGGTTGTGTTGAGGTGGACTCAGAGAGAACCTAGAGTCAGGGAAGACACTGGAAGAAAGGCCATAGCATGGGGGTCCAATTAGTCTTGTTGAAGTTGGGGATCAGGTCTAAAGAATGGCAGTGAACAAGCAACTAGATTTGCACTCTGCCTGATTTTCCCAACCACCTGATGACAAATTTACAGTCACATACTTTATGCTTCCTCCCTCCCCCTGCCCAGTTCATTCCCAGTTCCCTAGTCAGTGATCCTGAAGGTTTGGGTGCAGCATCATTGAGTTCACCAGACAGTGTGCATTCATTGTGCTCTGCACAAAGATGAGTCCCCACCTTGTTCTCTGTGGATGCTTCACCCTGAACCATTTTCTCTCTGCTCTTTGACAGTGGGCTTTACCATGGCCTGGGGCAGAGCAATGAGGCAGCTCCCATATCTACCTCAACCGGAATGGGAATCCCACCCGTGCTTCTGTGCATTAACCTGAACCTGTAGCTGGCAGTCTAGTCAACTGAGCTAACGTGCCCCCCTCATTTATTCATAAAAGGCCCTGAAAAGGGTGAGAGGGTGTGAGGTGAAATAATCATTATTTTTGGTCATATATTTTCTGGGGAAATCATTCCACAGCAGCTGTGCCAAGTCCTGAAGATGCTGGTGGTATTCTGTCAGGGGCTTTATTATGGCTTGTGTGTTTGCTGATTATTCTAGTGTGCCTTATTTCATCTTACACTGTTTGCGTTAATGAAGTATTTTTGTGTAATCCATGGACCTTAATGAACGTGTGGTGCCCAGTGTGTGGGAATAGTGACTTAAAATAAGTGACCAACCAAAAGATCACTGGCAGAAGCAATCAGGAAAGGATTACGGCAATGCTCTAATCTCCCAGTGCTCATTCACCTGCTCAGAAAAATATCTCAGACCTCTGTGATTACCCACCAACAAAAGCCAGGAGTTTGAGCACACTCTGCTCTGACTCCCACCGCTACTGTTAAGCGGTTTGCTAGAAGGTATGGTGATATTCCGGATTTCCATACTTTGGGTGGAATTTAATGTCCAGTCCCCACCCCAGGCAGGTTCAGGGATGGATGCTATTTAATTGGAAGGGGGAGTGCTCCAATTGAATCAGGAGTGGGTTAGTTACAGATGGCTTGCCCAGTTATCAGTCAGCAATTAATCCTGGGTACCCACCCAGCGATGGGTCACCTACGAGGTGCCCGCAAAACAAACCATATTGAGGTTGCTTGTGGACTCCCGAGGGAATTTGTCCTTCAAAGATGTTCAGCACCTGATCGAGGGACCCATCACTGGGTGGTGGGGGACCAGGGAGGGCCATTCCTGCACCCCTCGTGCTGACCCACTTTTCCCCAGCCTTCCCATAGTGCCCATCCTGCCCTCACTTACATGTGGCCTGGGCCTCTGGTGGGTCCCTTGTCGATACTGCGCCTCTGGTGGGTCCATTCCCAGCAGCTACCATCACTGACCCAGCAATGTAGCCTATAACAAGCCATCTAGAGGCTCCCTGATGCTGGGAACCGCCCGCCCCCAACCGGAAAAGGTGTCTGAACTGGTTGAGAGACATTTGATTGAACAGGTCTTCCCCAAGTGAAAAAGACGCAGGGAGTGCTCGCCCATTGCCCATTTGGCAGGTGAGGACCAGCCCTTGGTTTGAGGACCTGCCTTTGGTTACCTCAATGCTACCCAACCATGACACAGCTCAGAGACTGGGATGTGTGGAGGGTTTCATTGGCCCCCTTTCCAATTGCTGTGATACCCTGAGCCGATTGCTGGTGCAGGCTGCTACTGAAGGCTGCCAAGGGTGCTCCACACTGGGTGTTCTTAGTGGGCGGTCAGGAAATGGGCCAGCACTCAGAATGAGTCAGGGTGGGTTGAGGGTGTGTTAGAAAGGCTTGAAGCAGAATAGAATATGTTTTTGTGAGTGGATAGGGGCACTGAGAACTTCTTGAGTCATTTTGTGAGCAGCCTTTAATGGCATTGCTATGTGCCATTGATTAATCTGATTGATTAAGCTGTTGAATGCCAGGTGTAGAGGGCACTCACTAAACTTCATAATAATGACACCTGCGACTGGCATATGAGATTGTTGTGCCATGGACTGCCATGGAACCAGATTGCTTTTGTTCTCGAGTGATCTTTTCATCTGGATTTCTGACAACGACTGAGAGAGAGAGAAAGAGAGAGAGAGAGAAGAGTTTCATCCAGTTATCATGTCAGGAATTGTAGCCCAACATCGAAGAGTCAGTATTTAGCCCCCTACATCGCTCAAGGCCCAAGGAAGTCATCTGAATGAAATAAATCAGAAGTAATTTTCCTGCTGTTGGCCAGTTCTGGATTTCCACAGGTTTGCTGTGATGAAGAAACTGGTATGCCCTAGAAATAAGTTACAAGTCAACGGAATATCTTTTTTTCACTCCATCTGAAATCATATGGGGCAAGGGCAGGAGAATGGCATGAAAGGAACAAGTTCCAGTTGAAGAGCTAAGTTTGAATGGGTCTAATGGGTTGAATGGTCTTGCAGTTCTTTATCATTGCTAGGACCTTCAGGACCAGTCATGAGTCTTTGCAGTGCTGTGTTCAGACATCTGGACAACCTGTTCACTTTTTTATTCCCCAGTGGCTTGGACAACAAGTGCTCCGTATACCCTCTGACTTTTGATAAAAATGAGAGTATGGCGGCTAAGAAGAAATCTGTTGCGATGCACACAAACTACTTGTCTGCCTGTAGCTTCACTAATTCAGACATGCAGGTAAGGCCAGTCAGGTACAGCATTTTCATTTTGAACAGTGATCGAGTAAGCATCATCTAAGAGGGTTGGCTCACTTCCCACCAACAAGAAAGGGAAACTTTTCAGGGTATAACAGCCAAGGTCAAGTGTAGGCTATTGAGCCCTTCTCTATGGTGGTGTGGATTTCCCCTTGTAGGACATACGCTCTTTTTAAACATCCTAATGTGTCGACTTATCTGAAGCATTTAATCATTTGTTTTACTATGTCTTTATTCAGTTCAAGTCTGTTTTGTAATACCCGCATGAAACTATTTCAGATATGTGCACGTGTGTGTGTGTGTATATGTACCTTCAGACTCTTGTCACCCCTGGAGAAAGGTATGGGGTACAGGGAGGATTTTTCAGGCTGATTAATTGCCTCCATCAAACAGCAAGGGCATTCCTTCTGCAGCCAGGAAGTCCTTGAGTAGGATTTGAACCGCGGGCCTCCTTAAATACAGGCAGGTTTGCTGGCAATTACATTGTTTGGAGAAAGGGCCTACAGGAGATGTAGTGGCACCATTGATTCGTTTTTGAACACGGTCCATTGTGCTCCCATTTCTTTTATGTCTACTCGTCTAAAATTGGCAGAAAATAGAACAGAAAGAATGAGAGTGAGATGAAAGCAATGGGAAAGTGAACCCAAAGTACAGGAGACCTGAAAAGAGAAGTGGAGAAAATTGATGGAGAATGAAATAAAAAGAGAGAGATCGAATGCACAAAATGAAGGAGGATGGTGGGAAACTGGGTGAAGGAAGAGAGTGACAGAAATAGAAACAAATGCTTCCAAAAATGGAACCCCCAAGGATGCTGGAAGTCTGGCACGAACGGAGAAGGAACTGGAAATGCTCCACAAGTCTGGAAGCATCTTTGAAAGGGGAAGTTTCAGGATTGTGACTGCTCATCAGAATTGAGCACTAAAGGCAAACGAATATTGTCTGTCGACGGTGGGGCTTGAATATTTGTAATGCTCATTGAAATATGTAACCACAAAGCTGAGTAGGTTGCAGAACTTATGGGCAATTATGTAAATACTTAAAGAAGAAAATACCCTGAAGAGTACACCAAAAAAGTTTTAATTTGAATAGACGGGTTTTGAGGATCATAATCACAGAGTAAGGGGTTTAAGACAGGGATGAGGAGAAATTTCTTCTCACAGAGGGTGGTGACCCTGTGCAATTCTTTACCACAAAGGATCATCATTGTTAAGAATACTCAAGGCTGAGATGGACAGATTTCTAATCAAGAATAATGGAGATAAGGCAGAAAGGTTGACGGAGGAGCAGGGCTCCTATGCTGGAGCTCATCTGCTCCGTCCACTTCTTTTTTTTGTCTCTTTTCTTTCACTTACTTACCTTGTCCAGAGCTTGCATGATATTGGCAGCAGCGAGAGAGCTGTGCACGGACCCTGAGTGGACCCAGGGCACGGGCCTTGAGTGGCCTGAAGCCAGGCCGAAGGTACAGTCCTTGGGCGGGCTTACTATAGCCCTCGAGTGGGCCCAGTACGGAGGAGGGTGAGCCCCTACTTACTTTTCTGGAGCAAACACAGGACATGCAATTGGTGGCTGCTGCACTGGCAGAGGCGGCGTCGGCAGGATAGGCTCAGCAGCAGAAGGTGGTGCCTGAAAGTCAGCGCCCTTGTTGTTGATTGGGTCTAGTGCTGGTGGCAGTGAAGTGTTGGTGGAAGGGCAACATCGATGAGGTGGGCCCAGTGGCAAGGGATGCATCCCTGATGTTGGTTGGTCTGACATAGGCGGCGGTGAGGCGCTGTTGTAGGACTATCGGCCCAGTGGTAAAGATGGTGCCTGAGGATTGGCGACTTCGATGCTGGTTGGGTCCAGTGTAGATGACGGCGAAGCGGTGGTGCAGGTGTCGTTGGCGGTGATGAACTGGCTCAAGACTGATGGATTCTCTTCAAGCTATATCTTTCCTTGCTTTCCTCGTTCTCAAATTATTCAAAATGGCGCCGTTTCATGGCAACAAGTGAAAGCTTTTCGCTGTATTTTATTGTATTCATACTGTAAAATACATGTGACAATAAAACCAAAATCAGAAGTGGAGTTAAGGATGATCAGATTAGCCATGATCTCATTGAACAGACTTGATGGGCCAAATGGACTCCATCTGCTCTGACTTCGTATGGTTTTATGGATAGAATGTTAGCTCCGGTACTAATGTAATGGACTAAATAACCTCCTCTGTAAATGTCTGTGATTATACATTGTTTTATTCCCAGTTAGGAGCAAGAATTTTCCATCATCATTTTGTTCTTGGAATAGTGCAGTGCAGTATGTTTACTAAGCCTGAATATTGATGATGAAGAGAAAATGTATTCAAGTCAAGATGTGTCTAATGTTAGCCGATTAGTCAATGGGGAACTGTACAGTGAACAATTCTAATCATAAAAACAGAGCTTTTAATCATTATTGCGACTTAATCACTCATCAATCATCGTCTTGTATGCCTGTATTGTTACCTTCCCACTGAGTATTCTGTACATCCCTCAGCTTGACACATTAACTGAAAGCATTATAAAGTATTTATATTTGTTAGCCATTAATGTGGGATGTAGTCTTTCCTTCTGCAAAATTACTAACTCAATTTAACTCATCTTTTGATACAGTCCAACTTTTCTTTAGAAACATTTCTTGTCTTCTCTTGTGATTATGGTTAGATATCAGTGGCTCTGAAACCAGTTACCATGGCAGCAGCTAAAAGTGTAGAATGTACCCAGAGGCCTCTACTGGGATTAATTGAGGCACAAACAGTAGGAGTTTGATTTAATCAACCCCAAAGGATTTAGAAAATCAATCTTGGTGAGCTGTTATATTATTGACTGTTGGAAAACATTCCAAAATGAATGAATTTCATCTAAAAACATGCCAAAATCTAAAGAAAGTAACTAGAATAAATCTAAGAGCATGCCGTAAAAATATTCATGTTTGTTAGAGAGCTTAACTCTATGTCTCTTAGAGTCATAGAGATCTACAGCACAGAGAAAGGCCCTTTGGCCCATTATATCCCGCCAGTCAAAAACAACCACCTTACTATTAAAGTCCCATTTTCCATGCCTTGGCCTTGGCATTGTAAGTGCATATTGAAATACTTCTTTTAGGCAGTGAGTCCCAGAGTCGCACCATCTCTTGGATGAAAATGTTATTCCTCACATCTCCTCTAAACCTCCTGCCCCTTACCTTAAACCTACATGCCAAGTCATTGATCCTTCCATCAAGGGGAAAACTTTCTTCCTGTCGACCCTGCCTGTGCCCCTCATAATTTTATACTTCTTAATCATGGGCCCCTCAATCTCTTCTGCTCCAAGGAAAACAACCCAGTCTCTCCAATCTCTCTTCATAACTGAAACTCTCTGGCCCAGGCAGATATCCTCAAAAATCCTCTCCAGTGCTATCACATCCCTCCTACTTGTGAATGCCTTGATTCTTGACAAATTGTAGAGAAGAACAAAGCTAAAAGTTAGTGATTTTCTGTAGTGGAGGTGATTACATTGATAGAGAGCTTAATTTAGAAAACCATCATTGCATAGCTATAGGAGAAAAGAGAACAAAAGACTGATATTTGCTTTTGGGAACTGGCCTGGAAAGATAATGCAGATTAATTATTGCTCTGAGGATACTGTAGGTGATTCAACACAGATGTTGCTACACTCAGGGACTGGCAGCTGGTTGGATGCTGAATTAATAAGTCAAGGGAGAACTGGTGCTGACCACCCAACCATAGAGAATGTTGAAAAGAAAAGAGAAAACAAGAATGAACTGGTGCTGACTAGGGTGTTGGGCAGGAGGCTGTTTTGTTTTAGAAGCTGCCAAATGGGAAGCTGTTTTGGTTTTGTTCTGTATAGTTATTCTCTAGTTATCGACATGTTGAAAGTTCTATGAATAGGACCTCAGTCAGTAAAAACTAGTAAAGGTCTCTAGAGATCTGCAGAAGCTGTTTGCATTGACCAGTGACTTCGAAATTCAAGTAACATATGCAGTTTTATGTGCCTGTATTAAGGGATTTCATGAAAGTCTGGTATTCATCATTGAAATGGTTATGAAACTGGCAGGTGACAATTATTTTATTTTCTTTTAAATTGATGTCTGGTAGGAATCTATATGGTTAAACCCATTCCATTTTCTTCTTCTGATTGAGCGGTATGTGAGAGGGGAGTGAGTTATGTTCAGAGAAGACTGGGCTTAGCTAGTAGATATTGATTAGATGACTTTGTAGTTTATCTGTGTTCTGCTAAAGTTACATTCTAAATAAGAAATTGTTCATTTTTGTTTAAGTTATAAACTTTGTGTCCAAGATCTGTTATTTCTAAACTGTAGTTAGGAACAATTGAGTAATTTTGAGGATCATTAGATGTTTTACTTTTGCGGTGTTGCGAATCCAGTGATAGGGATACTCAATTGATTTGGCTTTGCTATTCTTGTGTTGTAACACCAGTCAGGAATTGGCTGCACTGTTAGCATGCGTAACAGTCACTCTGCGATATGTGGAAGTCATTGCGATATTTCTGAAGTCTAGGAAGGATCATTCATCTTTTTGCTGTTGGCTGTGAGATTTTTTTTTTCCCGGTTCATTCATTGGATGTCAGTGCAAGGACAGCATTTGTTGCCTTTGGGTCCACTTTCTTGAACAATTGCAGTCCATGTGTTGTAGTGGCACCCATATAAGCTCTTGAGTAATAATAACCATGATATGTGGGGCATGGTAGACATGGTTGAAGTGAAAGGAGCAGCCCTCGAAACCCTGTTGAGTCCTTAGTTTAGGCTGTACCTCTGGGAAGAGGCACCTATTATTCAGTCAGCATCCACATGCAAATGATTGCAGAGGTTGGTGATAGTTGCAGACCTTGAAGAAGCCTGCCCACTGTTGGAGGAAACCGGAGCACCCATGCAGACAGGGGGGAACACGCAAGCTCTACACAGACAGTTGCCCGAGGGTGTAATTGAACCTGTGACCCTGGCACTGTGAGGTAGCAGTGCTAACCACTGAGCCATAGTACCAGCCGAGACTATGTAGAGGACTGAAGAAACGCAGATAGAATGAAACATTCAATGCAATCGGAATGTTTAACGACCGAAGAGTTCGAGGGATTAGGGGAGAAACTTCCCCAGATATTCACCTCCTCTGTTCACATAAATTTTAATAAGCATTATTATTGCAGAGTTAGGTTTAAACCTTATCTCCATTGTTTTATGCACTTGAATAAATTGAAGAAATGTATTAGAAGAAGGAAATGGATTGCCTTAACCCCAGTAGGCATAGAGATAATCTGCTTGACATAATTAATTGGATCATATGATTTCCACTTTGTGGTGCTTGTTGTCATTATAGAGTGTTCCTGAGTTCACCAGCTTTCTAGTGCATGTTGCGTTAGAATCCTTTCCCAGATATTGGCACACCTCACTTGTCACTCCTTTGGGCAGTTGTGTATTTGGCTTCCAATTTGATACAGAGGAATATTGAGCTTTGCAGGACCATCTAGCTGTTCCCCACACTAGGTTCATGATTTATAGAGAAGAAGGTGACAAATGACTGACCTAGGTAAAATAAAAGTAATTATTGTCAGTGGAAACAAACAGATTGTGCATTCTATAATAGTCTGGATCTTAGCCAGTTGGTGAGACAGAAACCAAGATCAGATATCTATCTTTGTAGATAGTTTATTGACTACTCAGTCATACAGCTCCTTCCTCAGACCAGTCCCGCTGTTCAGTGTGTTTTTAATTTTTTTTATATCCAAAAATCTGTTCACTCTTTCTATCTACGCAGTCAATTCCTCAGTCAATTAAGCCCAATCATCAGTGTCAATAAGCGTGGAGCTGGACAAACACAGCAGGTCAGACAGCATCACAGGAGCAGGAAAGTCAGCATTTCAGGCCAAAACCCTTCAGCAGGGTTTCTGCCTGATGAAGAGTTTCGGCCTGAAACATTGACTTTCCTGCTGCTCTGATGCTGTCTGGCCTGCCACGTCTGTCCAGCACCACATTTATTGACTCTAGCGTCCAGCATCTGCAGTCCTTACTGTCTGTTAGTCATCAAGCCCAATCACCAGCCTGCCCCTCTTGCGATATTAACACACTGCATTTCTACTCTGTGAATTCCAGCCTAAAGGCTCTCCTGTCTGTCCTTCTTGTTACGGGCCCAATTTCAAATAAATTTTGACCACCAATTCAGCATCTTGGCAGGAAAATAACATGATGACTTCAGGTTCAAAAGCACAAATGGACTGTTTGATCCAACAGATATCCTGCTATGAAAGGCAAGATGGATGAATGAATTTGTCTCACTAGATGGCACATGTGTACAGGAAATGACAGCTGAGCATCATACTGTGATATGAAGCATTGAGAGAAAGGGCTTGCATTTATATAGCACCCAATCACATTGTGGGGAGGAGGTCCTAAATGCATCACATTTTTTTGAAATGCAGTCAAGATTGTTAGCTATGATTCATCTGTATTAAATTATTTCGTCTGTACAAAAGCAACTCCCATCCTTGCAGTACTGTCAGTATGATTTTGACAATGCATGGATACTTTATTAATAGCAATGTGCGAGTGTAACAAAGAATTGTTGAAGTTTCAGAGAGCAAAATTGTATGAGATTCATCAGTAGTGATGGGTGCAGGTATCTTTTTGTTACCCAGTTGTGTTAGTAAGCTCGTAGTACTTTTAGATTTTGAAATGTTTCCGTTTTAGTTCTCCTCTCATGAAGATCCTGCGGTTTGATTGAACAAGAGCCGCTGTCCTTTCTCACTAAAGTGTCTGCATAAAGAAAAAAATTATCACACACCATTCAATCGTGGATGAATGAACCCACTCTCCTGGAGTTTAAATGATTGTCTTCAGTGTCTTGGAGATAAATTTTCCAGTTTTCACAAATTGGTTTTGCATTTTATCATTCTTTGTTGCCTCTGTCAAACAATCAAACAGGTGTTTTTTTTTAAACTTGAAGCTAGTTGAGAGAATAAAATATTTTGCAAATGCCTGCCTGATACTCCTGATGATTCAGCAAGTTCCCCCAGTCCTGAGCTGATCTTGATGGTCTTGGAAGGTCCCAAGCCCATTTCCTGGATTGGGCTGAGTAAGCTGCTCTCAGCCAGGTTTTGTGCTGTCTGACAAGGGCAGGGTGTGCCATGGTAGTGACAACTCCCACATTAAACAAACTGCTGACACCTTACCAAGGCTAATGTGTGTAAGGTAATCTCTTGGTGTGTTTAGGATACTTCCTCAGCAAACAGTCAGTTTCAAGAGAGGTTGAGAGGAGGGAAGCTGTTTGCAATAGATTGAGTCCTCCCAGCCATAAACCCTGACAGCGGTTTCAGTCATCCAGTGATGGCAACTTTGAGACAAGCTGCTGCTCAGATGAACTTGCTCACGCTCACCTAATACACTGCTGATGCCACAGAATCTTATTGCACAGAAGGAACTCATTTGGCCATTTGGCCCATTGTACTAGTGCTAGTGCTTTAAGAGAGCTTTCCAATTAACTCACCTCTCATGCTGTTTCCCCATAGACCAATGAATCCTTGTTGGCACTGGAGAGACATTGTCTAATATGCTCAAAATTGCCATGGTCGCTGTAAGGCAGAACCCAGAAAGGTTTAAAAAGCCAATTTTCTGGAAATTACGTCAAAATTACAGTTGGAGAATCAGAGCACTGCAAAACAAACTGGGACATCATGTTTAGAAGGAGCTTTACAGGGGCTTGTGTTTGCGGCAAGGTTTTGGTGGAGTGGTAATGTCACTGGGCTAGCAATCCCTAACCCAGGCCTATGACCTGGAGGCAGGGGTTCAAGTAGCACCTTGCCAGATGGTGACACTTGAATTGAATAAAATCTAGAAAAGAGAGCTGGTCTAATGGTAGTCATTTAACAACTGTTGATTCTTGGTAAAACCATCAGGTTCACTAATGACCTTTTGGGAAGGAAATTTGTTGCTGTCACCTGATCTGGCCTAAATGTGACATATCTGTAGAGAGAAAGCAGAGTTAACTTTTTGGTCGAGTGAGCAAGGGTTACTCGACCTGAAACATTAACTCTGATTTCTCTCTACAGGTGTTGCCAGGCCTGCTGAGCTTTTCCAGCAATTTCTGTTCTCGTTCCTTCTGTTCTGGTCTTTATCTGGTAACTATTACAGTGATGTTTGTGGGAGATTGCTGTTCACAAATTGGCTGACACATTTCCTGCATTACAACCATGATTACGTTTCAAAAGCACTGCATTGGCTGTGAAGAAAGTTCAGACGTCCTGATGTGTAAATGCAAGTTTTTATTTTTAGTTTGGCACTCATTGGAATCTTGCTGAGAAAGACCAGAAGATGCTGTTCTGGGAAATGGTAAAAGGTTATGCTCCTATAGTAACTGGTGTTATTTTGAGACTGATGAAGATTATTGGGGTAGAGTGAAGAGAGCTTTACTCAATGGCTGCCTGTGTTATACCTGGCCTAGGGCAGGGGCTTGTTGGTGACATATGACTTGACCCTTGGCTTGCTTGTCCATCGCAAGAACCTGAGAGTGGAGTCTTTCAACATCGGGAGACTGATATGCTGCAGCTACCGCATGGTAAACTCTCCCATTCTTACTGTCTTGTGCATCAGAGACATTTACTGATTATCAATCAATTGGCCCTATTATAGCACACCTTCCACAGTCATCAAGTCCTGAGGTGGGACTTAAATCTGGAGCTTCTGGCCCAGAGATTGAGATACTTACCCGTTGTACCACAAGACCACCTCAGTGTTGACCTTGTTGCCAGTTCAAAAAGCAAATGTGGTTGCCTCTTTGATGACCCTTTTTTGTCTTCTTTTCCTGTATCTCCATAGATTCTGACATCGAGTGGTGATGGAACCTGTGCACTTTGGGACGTTGAGAGTGGGCAATTGCTTCAGAGCTTTCATGGGCATGGCGCGGATGTCCTTTGCCTTGACTTGGCCCCATCTGAGACTGGCCATACATTTGTGTCAGGGGTGAGTGTTTACTCAGGGACAAGGACATCATTAAGACCCTTTGAAGATGTTATTGTGCAGTATCTAAAACACGGTGTGGAATGTTGACGTGATGAGTTGTGTCAGTGGAATTACTTTGAATAATTATGAGGAGTGATTGTATATTTTTACCGGTTCAAAGTGTTTCTGTCCTTCATTCAGCAGCCATCTGGACATTACCATAGACAAGTTAACAACTCCCTTCTGTATGCAATCATATTCTGTCTTTAAAAAGGATTACATTTGGTAGCCCCCAAAAACGGGCAAGGAGGTAGTGATGTGTGATTGCCATGTATTTGTTGGTTGCAGTTCCTGCAGTCCGCTAACCTGCAGTTTTAAATTATTTCAGCTTATTGCTAGTGCAGACTGCACTGTTCATAGGCTAGGGTTTGTGCAGAGAGCTAATGTCATGTATGGCTAGCAATACTTAAAGCTAACGTGCAAATATTTAATGGGGGGAGTGCATTGTGGCAGATGTAGGGCAGGCAGTCGTGCAGGAAGTGATTATACTCTGGGTAACGTTGAATGATGAAATAAAATGGGAGAGTGCGAACTTCATTGTTTTGCATGCTGCTCTGGAGATCCTACTGGAAGAGGTAGGAAGAAGGAGGAATGCCCTGCATTCACAGGGGTCTCGAAGATCCTTTGGACACACAGTCAGAAAGCAGTGGACGCCAATCAATGGCTGGATTCAAACCCAAGGTTTTGGATACAGTGCTGCACAAAGTTCAATGACCTGACACCAGGGATTGAGGACAATGATTGTGTCTTCAGATGCCATTTCATACCAGCTTCACCGGCTGTCGCACGCATGCTATTCAATTCACCACTCCCCAATCACCCACGCACCAACAATCTCCATGATTTTCTATGTCACTGATACACTCCCTCAGACATTTAGTACTCCTGCAAGCCTCACACCCATACATTGTCAGCTGTTCAACCACAAGACTCACATCATCCTGATTCTGAGACTCCAGATACACTTCCCCTCCCTCATGAAGGGGCAAGGTAGCTGATAGCCAGAGGTAGCAGGAATGGCTGGACGGGGCAGGTGTGCCAGTTACCCCATGAAGGAAATGGTGTTGACCATTTGTAGCCATTCATTGCTGAGGCCATGACCAATGGAGGGGCTCAAGCCATCAAAGGTGATGGTGTCCTCGTTGATAATCCTGTTTCTCATATTCCCCTACTCCTCATCTCATTTTCTCTTCTAATGTATAACTGCAGCTATTGTAAGCATGCACCATTCACTACCCCATGCCCAGCATTCCCTTATCCCTGTGCATTTCAGAACTCAAGAAGTACTATCTGCATAGGCTGTGAAGGGATAGCATGAAGGCAGTGATGATGAAAAAGTACTTCACTCAATTTCAACCTCTCAGCCTCCTGCTCTGATACTGATCTGTCGTAGAGATGTACAGCACTGAAACAGTCCAACTCATCCATGCCAGGCAGGTATCCTAAATTAATCTAGTTCCATTATGCAGTATTACAAAAGCGGTCTAACCAATGTCCTGTACAGCAACAACATGGCCTCCCAACTTCTATACTCAATGCACTGACCAATAAAGGCAAGTGTACCAAATGCCTTCTTCACCACCCTGTCTACCTGCGACTCCATTTTCAAGGTCTCTCTATTCGGCCACACTCCTTACCATTAGTTGTATAGGTCCTGCCCTGATTTGCCTTACCAAAATGTGGCACCTCACATTTAACTAAAATAAACTCCATCTGCCACTCCTCAACCCATTTGTCCATCTGATCAAGGTCCCATTGTACTGTGAGGTAACCTTCTTCGCTGTCCACTACACCTCTAATTTTGGTGTCATCTCTAAACTTACTAAGGACAACATAGAGACAGGACTGACATCCTGTAGCCATGTCCGGGGGCAGGAAATCTACATAAATTACACTGGAGACAATTTGGTTCAGAGTGTTGAAACAGTAGCCTAACAGTTGATGGTCGGGCGTCACGCTTGGTGCACTGGGGAAGCCTGGCCAAGCCGTGTGCTATGTCAAAGGACGAGAACGAATCCCACAGCAATTTAGCGCAGGACTTTCTGCAGAGATTGGAGCCATCATTTCCAGGGCGTGCGTGTAATATCTGATAGCTGATGTCTCAGCTTCCACTGCAGCACAGCTGTCAGTTCTGAGGAAGGGTCACCGGACCAGGAACGTTAACTCTGTTTTTTCCTTCACAGGTGCTGCCAGACCTGCTGAGCTTTTCCAGCAACTTTGTTTTCGTTCCTGATTTACAGCATCCGCAGTTCTTTCAGCTTTTATTTTGTGAGTCGTTGATGATCACTTTAAATAGCACTGGTTAAGGAAGATGGTGGAATCCTTCCTGCTGCTAATACCTGCTCAGCTGTATGAGGTTCAAATAGAGCATTCACTGGAGTGTTGAGCAGTAAAATAGCATTGCTGGTGAGAGAACAGCACACCATTAGATGTCATGATCTGGCTGATTCATACCTCTGGAAGTCATTCATTGCATGTCCATTGATGCCCTCACCCAGTGTGGTATCCAGCACAAGGTGGTATTGCCATCTTTTTCTACACTAGATGATACCCTTGGCAACTAAACAACAAGCACTGGATTCCAATTTTGCCCCTCAAGCCCTGGAATTTCACCAAAGGGCACAGTTTGACCCAAAAATTCAACCATCCTCTCATTTGAGTTGGTTTCAAACTTCCTGTAAATCTTATTAGAATACAGTTGAATTTAAACTGAGGAGTTAAGGAACATAGACAGTTGGGGCCCAAGGAAAGTGAAGGACTGTCACTATAGGTTCCTTCCATAATTAAGATTCCTGAAGTTGTGACTTATCTAATGATCATTCATGCATATTAACTTACTTAATAATTGTGATTAGGGAATTTAAAAATAAATTTTTGAGATTTACACCAATGCCATTAAATGCATACAATGAGACATCCTTGGAGGAAGGATTTTTTTTATGTGAAACGTCAGAAGAATGAATTTCTTTCTTGCTGCAACTAAAAATCGGGTCTGAATATGAAGAGAGGATTTAAGCAGGTTGTCATGTTGGGGATTAGTTCATTCTGGTGGACAGAGATGTACTTGGTGCAGGAATCAGTTGGAAAACATGGAAAAGCTTTGGGCTCCAATTGTCTGAAGTTTCACTGCCTATTGAGCCACATCGTTAATTGCAGCATGTATATTGGGGGCACAAATACACAGGAATTCCAGTGTCAAGTAGGACCGCATTTGCTCTGGTTGCTATGTGCACTGCAACTGCGTTCATCTGCATTTGTTTGCTTGGTATTTCTTGCAAAAACATGAACATCTCAATGACTCATTTAGCACACATAGCCAATGAAGCAGTTCTTCCTGACTGTGAGGCAGGAGTGTTGTTTTAATGACAGAACTTTACTTGTTCCCATTTTGATCAGCATAATCTCAGCAAATAATGCACCAGATGTTCCTTTTAATGCAATTTTCAGATTCCAACGTGGTTGAGCTAAATTGCTTTCTGCTCTTGTGGCTGTCAACATCACTGCACCCTCCTCGTGTAAGTATAATGACAGCTCTGCCCAGCCAATTGGAGATGGTGTTTTACAGGAAGCATAGTGCAGGAAATTGTGGGCTCGAAGCCTGGGATTTTCCAACCATTCATTTGACATATGGAAAATTACAGGTTGGGCAACTGAGATGGAAGGATAGTAAAAAGACCAAGTAACTGTGACATTGCCTTTTGAACTAGTGAGAAATGAAAGGAAATTGAATAGACACATGAAAAAGGAACATGGTCAGAGCTGTCGGAGGAAACTTGGGGTTGGGGCAGCCTAGATTCACTGGTTAATCTTTCACCAAGGCATAATGGGCCAAATGGTCTCATTCTATGCTGTGGCCTGGAATTTACAGGGAGTCACCGTCCATGTATGTGAGCCTTCCCCACTTTCCAATGCAGCCATCTTACTCTGGGAGTAGAATGAATTGCTCCAAGGTGAGACTTCTGCACGAATCTGATTGGCCAGCAGCTCCTGTAATCCCCAAAGTGCCAAAATAGAACAGTGGCCACTGCTGAAAATGTGGGTGATCCTGATGAAATGGTGTTGGAATCTGGACCTCCAGCAAAGTCTTGGGGTTTTGGTTAGGCTTGACTGCTGTACCCAAAGTTGAGCTATTAGCTTCAAGAGCCCACAGGGGTGGGATGGTTAAAGAGGAGGGTAAGGTGCTGAGTGGTGTGCCACAAGAAAGAAGATCCTATACTCCATGCCCAACAGCCGTATGTAGTGAAATCCTGCCAGACTCTGCCTTTCCCTGTCCGGGGTAAAAGAATGGCTGAGGCAGAATGAAGCCCTTAATCACCTTAAGTTGGGAAAAACTGATTGCTTTTAAGAGAATAGTCAAAAAAAAGTGATTGAAATTTTGTCAACTTTAATAGAACACAAGAAATTTTCCTTAGAATTCTTTAGGACTCCTTGATAATGTATTATCAATTGGACATCTAATGTTCATATTTATTCATGTTAAAAGTTGCTGTATGCTAAAGAGTCTCCCAAGCAGAGACTGATTTGAGAAAAGCAGATATTTTTCAAGTAGTCCCTCCCAAGGATGGTTGAATTATTATTTGAGGCCCCTTTTCCTGGGAGAATCCGATAGAATCCTGAATCCTTTCACGGTAGCCACTTAAGTTCTGATCCAAGACAGCTACACATTGCTTCCATGTAAAGAACAATGAGAGATCATTAAATGCCCATTAAATGGCTGTGTTTAATCCTCGCTAGGCCCAAGGTCATGCAGGTTGCCTGACACCATCCCTAGGCTGTCCATTCTCCTTTAATGTGGGAGAAATGTCATGGGTGAGTGGGAAGGCCATGTGGTTAATTTTACGACTTCCACAGACCAACTCTGCTCCTCCCACCAGACAAATACACCAGAAGGGGTCCATAAAATCCACTCCAGTGATTCCAAATATCCCACTTTAATGAGTTTTCACGATGCTGTGGGCAAAATAACATCGCTGTTTCACTTCATCTGTTCTACATTTATTTTCAGTTTTTCTCAATTTAGTTTGTCCGTAATAGGAACATGAGTGAAAGATTTTCCACCCTGACCTTCCATCTGTAATTAACTTTAAATTGGATTTTAGGGAGATAATTGGTTCCATTTACAGACCTGAGTCTGCGAGACTGAGCATGTCTGGTGTGGTGCGGCACAGTGCTCACTGTGATATGCAGATCATGCATTGAAATCTCATTAAAAAAAAATTTGATCATCCTTCCCTTTCTTCTCACCGAGAATCTGCACAAACAGATCACTTTGTGAAAACCTATCATTGTTCTTTAATTTAATGGCCAATTGATGCCTTGTCATAGCTATCATTGCTTCTACAGAAAGAACTGTCTTGCAATCAGGAGTCAACTAGCTACCACAAAAATTCTCAGGATTCTTTGGGATCCTCCCAGGAAAAGGAGCCACCAAAAATAATGTAACCATCCACAGGACAGGCTACAGGGAGACTATCTGAATTTCCCAAATGACCAATCTGTCTCTATTTGTGAGAATTTATAGCATAAAAAGCTTTTCAACATTAACAACTATGATCTGCACACGTTAAATGTCTTCTTGAAATTGTCTTATCTAAAAGTCCTAAAGAATTCTGAGGCAAATTTCCCTTGTGCTATCAAAGTTTTCAGTTTTTAAAATTCCAGCTCTTCTTTGTTGTTGTTCTCTTTAAAATGATCAGATTTTCCCCACCCCCAATCGATTTAATTCAGGTACTTTCCATTTCTTTATTATTGGTGTATCTGGAAAATTACTGATCAGCATACATGTGTTGGTTCAAGGCTGTGCACTGGTTTTACCAGTTTATTATTGGAGTGATCTCATCCTTGGACAAGAATTTCTGCAGGAAGGGAATTAAAGTGAAAAGTGGACCATTTCCTTCCCTTCCAATTCTGTTTTGAGCTCGAGGATGATTGTTTATTCAAGAAAAAGAAAATCGGGGCAGAGATTTAGGATTGGTGCTGGAAGTGCAGTGTGAGGGTTAAAATGATTTGTTGTGTGCAAAACATTCTCTGGAAAGTGGATTATATTGCTGCTCTTGGCTACTGGATCCACTTCAGTCAGCTCATTTAAAACCAAACGTGACTTATGGTCGAAAGAGGAATATGTTGAGAGGGAAATATGATTTGAGCATCTAGCTGTGAATGTTCCCATAGGCCAGTGTGGATAAATGATCATCTCCTGTAACAATGAAAGGTTTTAAGATGGGCATGCGGCTGAAGATGCAGTGTAGCATTATAAAGAAGAGGTTACTCCTTCTCATTGCGCATTCTTTTTGTCTAAGAACGTGCCCTCTTTCTACCACTTCTGCATGTGTGGAGAACACGTATCAAAAACAGTCCCTTGCAAAGGATTCCCTGTCCCCAGATTGGGGGTCTCAGGACCCCCTCTCTGTCCTGTTGTCGTTGGAGCTTAGCTTCATAATGGCAGCAGAGTGGAAATCTAACAGCAGAACAAGCTCATAATCCTCTGAATTAATGCAGAAAATCCAATACTATGGATTTGAGCACTCTTGCCTGGAAATAAAATAAAGGATGTTCCAGCATTCAAATATTGAGATTTTTTTTTTAACCATACTTCCAGAGATGGCCTAACATCACATACAACACGGCATTCAACTTATTTCAGCTGTTTTGTTGAAGAGTCAAGATTGACGCCTAAAGATGGTTAAAATCACAGTCTGGGTGGGTTGAGGGGGAATCTTACACAATTGGGTACAGTAGGCCCAATTTTGACTTTGTAATTGGATAAGATCCTGCACACAGCATTTTCAAGCATTAACATGATGCGGTCATTGAGAAAAGGTATTAAGTTTGCTCTTTACACTGGCTGTTTTCCAGTACAAGAGCACCTTATTTTTACTTGTGCCCCCATCTATGAGCCCAGTGGCCTGGTTAGTCACGTAGAATCCTGCACAATGAGGTGCGTGCACAAAGATGGCAATGGTCATGAACATTTCTCCCCAGCATATAAAGCTTCCCAGTACAAACTGGTGATTTCAACAAGTGGGTGGGAAGATGAACTATCATCATTAAAATGGGGAATACCTGGGAGTTACCCGATATTCATACAACTCTCCGTTTGTAACATTGCACATAACAGTCCTTTCTGATTATTTCACCCATTTTTACACAAAGAAATTTCATGGTCAAATAATTCAAACAACACAATTTAATCATTTTTGAGTAACAAATAGATGATTTTATGTATAATTCCAATAAGCGACTTTGAGTCAGCAGGAGTAGATTGTACGTGAACATTCACATGTTTCTGTTCTGAAATTCTGCTTTAATTTCTGCCTGAATTTGACGTAGTTAATGGTCATTAAAGTCAACTAAATACTTTTAAGTTAAACGCAATCTCTTGTCTATTTATGTTCTTATTTACTTGCAGGGCTGTGATAAGAAAGCAATGATTTGGGACATGCGCTCCGGTCAGTGTATCCAGTCCTTTGAGACACATGAATCTGATATAAACAGTGTTAGGTTAGTGTATTTATTCCGTAAAATTCTTGAAGCTGCATGAGACATTTATGAACTAACAAACTGAATGACTTGTGATTGCCACAAGTGCACCGCAGTCAGACCTGAGAATCAATGTGTAAGTGTGCTGTGTAGGAAATAGTGTTTGTGCGCGGCTTATGGTCATCCATTTAACATTGAAGCTGTGGTCACACAGCTAGAATATGTAACTTTCTGGATTGCAGTAATACACTGATGTGTTGCAAACATGATACTAAAGTCCATTTTCTCATAACAGATACTTCCCCAGTGGTGATGCTTTTGCTTCTGGTTCAGATGATGCCACGGTAAGTCAACTTTAATCATAAGTTGCATTATTGTTTCCTCCATATTTTATATAGAAGAGTTTTATTTTGTCAAAAAAGGGTCCTGACAAACATGATACAATCATTAAACTTGCTCAGTCATTTCATTCTGATAAATGTGAATAACTTTTAGACTGATAATGCTAATGTAGCACTTTTTTGCCACCATTGGATGACAGCAAATAAATACTTCAAACTTTCTGTTCTTGAGCAATCTTCCATTTCAGTGAATTTAAGTAAATCTTTTTTGAGACAGCTGTTGGTTATAAAAAAGAAAGTCAACTCGAGTTTTGTGGTTTCCCGGGAGAAACAGTTATTCCCAATCATGGTGTTTTGTGTTGCTTTGTGGTAACACTCTCTCTTCTGAGTAAGGAGGCTGCGGGTTTACGTCCCACTCCAGACACTCGATAGACTGATGTTTTCCATTGCAGTACTCAGGGAGTGCTGCATTGTTGAAGGGGCTGCCTTTCAGATAAGATGTTCAACTAATCTGTCATCTCAGGTGGATCCACAATTTCCAAGAATAGGAGAATTAATCTGGCCAATATCTGCTCCTCAGTCAACATCACTAACATTGTCTGTGGGAGCTTGCTGTGCACAGGATAGCTGCCACATTGCAACAGTAACTGGGCTTCAAGAATACTTGCCTGGATGAGTGCGGCTGCAACTTTTCAAGAAGCTGGACCATTTGACTGGCATCCTTTGCGGCCGCAACACCTTTGAAATGCTGCTGTGCACCTGGACATTGCCCCTCAACTGCAACATCATGGCACAGCAGTCAGAAGGCCATGTTGCCCTGGCATGGATGGCACTCCCTCACACATACACAATCCCCTTCTCTCACCCTAATCGCTGTTTAACCACCAGGCCACTCCCTCACCAGTCCCGACCTACACCCTGTCTGAACACCTTCCACATCAGTGGCACCTTGCCCCTAATACTGGCAATAATCGCACAAACTCAAACACAGATGTGAGCTTTTACTTACAGAATGGCAAGGGGAAAAGAAATGAAGCCAATGGAGGCTTTGCCCTCACAATACTTAAGGTTTGGGCATCATGACTAAAATATTTAACAGTCAACAATTCTATGCTGCATTCAGTTCTCTTCAGTGTGGTTCTGATTGACATATAGCGCCTATCGCAGCTGATCTGTATAAAGGACAGTCCCAGCTTTCTTCACTCCAATGTCCTGACCTCCTACTGGGAACAATGGTGCTGCTCCCTAGTTCCTCATCATCCAGCTCATCACCTTGTTGCCTACTTTAGTTGTGCAGAATGCACCATACCAGGATGAGACAGCCCGCTCTGTCTGGGCTGTAGTGGAGGGCCCCTCACAACCTGCCCAAGCAGCAGAACCACATCTGGAAGAGCTCCATACTCTGCTCCATCAATGCCTGATACCAGTGCAGCATTAAAAGCTAAACTCAGCATTGTGAGCTGTGTTCATGATGGTTATCCCTCGTCCCTCAGTAACTGGCCTTTTAAGGCCCCTAGACCCTCACAAACACCAGGTACATGGGAGAGCTCCAGGATGTGTGAGTCATGGCAGCTTCCAGGGTAGTGGGCTCACAGCTCCAGGAAAGGTAACAGTGAGCACAGATCACCAGGACACTGATGGAATGGAACTTGTTGATGAATGCTGTTGTGATACGGCCCTGTCAGTGCCAAGTGTGTACAGTCGATGGCACCCTGCACCAGCTCTGGTCCTGAATCCTACTGCCTGGGGCAGCAGCACTGACCATGTTATGGGAGAACAGAATGATTTGGTGTAGTGTTGCCCAGATGGCATTGGTCACTGTCCCGATGTACTTGTGGGAGTACGACTGAGAGATCCTGCACTGGACACTCCCTGGAAGGTGCCAGTTGTAAAGATGTTCAAGGCAGCGGTCACTTTCCCAGCCCCCGGGAGAGGGTGGCCTCCCACTCCTACAGCCCTCAGCTCCCGTTCCAGCCTCCAGCACACTTCTGTCCCTGTGATCCGGGATGTATGGAGCCTGCATTGACACTGCTCCCTTGCTTATCCCCAAGATATAGAGTGGGAACTGGAAAGCTCTGGGCCTTCTCCTGTGCAGTATCCCCACGATCCTGAAGGGACCCGTGGCTGTGACCCCCCTCTGAGCCGGGTGCTCGGGATGGGGATGGGGTGGGGGGGGGAAGCACCTGCTGCTGCTTCTGGGCTTCGCATTGGCCCTGTTCCCCCCATATCCGGAGAAGGCAGCCTCCAGAGCAACCAACATCCCAGCAGCGGTGGCAGGGCCCAGCATTCCCAGTGGAAAGGACTTAACGTTGAGAACATAAGGAGTGAAAGAGGTTCTCAGGGTCTCAGAGCAGTCATTGGTGGCACATGGTGCAGGTGAGGGTTGACCATGCAGTGAAGCATGCTGGGTGTGGAAAATGCGGGAACCTGTCTGCATTGACATCAGGATTCTGCCTCCACATGTACTGGCTGAGTGGTGACCACATGGCAGTGAGAACAGTATCACCATTCCATCCCTACTCCCACATCAAACCCTGAACCAGCATTCAGTACAGAAACCTGACCCACCTACATGACAGAAGACTCTCACTTGTGTGGCTCACACAGTACCCATGGAAGTTGAACAAATTGTGGTTTCCCTTCAGACAGCACTGGTTTTTTTTTCTGAAAAAGGGTCCGAACCCGAAACGTCAACTTTCCTGCTCCTCTGATGTTCCCTGGCCTGCAGTGTTCCTCCAGCTTCACACTGTGTTATCACTGGCTTTTTGAACCGTCATTGCTGCTCACTTCAATGTTATTGAGATGCTCAGATTCAATGTGCAAGCACCAAAGGTATGTATCAAACTTCCTTTGAACAGCAGCTGATCCCTTAAGCCGCCTCAATCTGCATGCATAGCAAATGAGCAAATGAAATGTCGCTGGGTTTTGTAAATGTTTGCTTCATGTTTTTGATGCAAACAGAGTCCATTAAACTGATACTCCCTCCCTACACCCCCCCCACCCTGTTCCCCCCACCCTCCCAGTCCCCAAGATATTGTTCCAGCCAATTTCCAGTTCTCTGTAGACAAGGGAAAGTCATGGTGGGACACAGATCATGGTGAACGCCATCAGCACTAGGCTCTACTTTGTCACCAAGTACCCCACTGCCAGAGCCTGCATGCCCCCTTTGCCTCGCAATATCCCATCACATTTCCAGTCATCCCCACCACATGGAGGCCGAGCACATTGAGCTTTGTCCGTTACTGTTCATGCCCCCTGAACCCTGGGCATTAACCTGAATGGTGCCCACCCTGCTCCTCTCCTCTGCCCCTGTGGGGCCTCTGTGGTGGTCACTGCCAATGAATTCCCCCTCCTGTTTCCAAGCATGTGTTCAATGCTGAACCACATCCCCCCCACCACCACCTTCACTTTGAATTTGCCTCTCTCGTTGCCCTTACCCCCTCCTCCACAAATACTTCTGCTTCTCCACCCCCCCCCCCCCCGGCCCCCCAAGCCTTGACTTCTCCAACATCCCGTGTCATTGATGCCCCTGCTGCCCCCCGGCAGGCTCCCATTGTGAAACCTGCTGTAACATTGGGTTCAGCACAGGCTTTTGACTGATATGGAGCAGCAGCTCCTAGACAGGACTGGGCAGAGTTCAGCTCACTGCGTTCACAACTCTTCGACTGCCATTCTGCTGGCTGCTTGTACTGGTTCTACAGGACTGTCCGCTGAACAATCGCTGCAATGTAATGGGGCAGATCCCCAAATGTGAGTATTCCAAGTGGAGGATTGAGCATGACAAAGTCCCTGGAGCGTGTGTGTTTGTGCCCCTGATCGACTGAAACAGCACCCATCCTCCCCCGGCCAGAAACAGTGCCCACCCTCCCTTTTAACTGGATGGACGACTGTTGCCCACCCAGTTTCCAACATGTCCATTTGGTTAAATGAATGTGCCGTGCGCTTGCCGCACAGGCAACTGGCATGTGGTACAGATGTCACATAGCGTTCTCGGCATGGGCCATTCACCAAAACCTTCTGTCAGATCAACATTGGTGAACATAACAAGCAGCCTGTCTGTGCATAAAACGGCAGGAGTGAACTCGGGCAGAAATGCCAGTGTCTTTACAGGTATGGCACTGCATGACAAGGCAGGGCATGGATGGTGTGAGTTTGCAGCTGAGCATAAAATGAGTGCACACCACGAAAGCGGGTGAGGAGCCCTGAGATGTAGCCAGACCTATTCTGTGAGCTAAGAACTTGTCCCTGAGTGCGGTGTCCCTACTGCAGTCTCTCAAAGGCTATTTGCCCACCAGCAGCAAGGCCCAGCACTCCCAGTGGAAAGGACTTAACGTTGAGAACATGAGGAGTAAAAGGGGTTGTTCAGTCTCAGAGCAGTCATTGGTGGCACATTAGCAGTGCACCCCACAATGCAAGCCTTGCCATGTGGGCAGCCATCCAGTGAATCAGACAGCTGCCATCGTGGCCGTGTTGGCAGATGTAAGATGCCAATGTCATAGATGAAGGCTTGGTGAAGCTGGGCCTTGTGAATCATGCCCTGAGATGTTGTTGCCCAGTGTCCAATGTGGAGCTCATTTAGGGCAGGCGGTGAGCTGAATCCATTAGGTACCCACTCTAGTTTCCTTGTTGAGTCTTTCGAACATCTAGCTGGTTAGGAATAAAACAAGTGTGGAATTAGCAAGGTGTTTAATAAGTGTTAACCCCTGTCAATTGGCATCAGACTGCTGCCTGACACCCTTACCTGCTTGTGGAAAGGTGGAGTGAGCTGAACTCGATGTTGAGATGAGCCTTGTTGTATTTGTCATCCGACTCTGTCCCACATTTTGTTGTAACTCATGTCACTCAGGCTCCTGTATGATTCCCCCTGGGGGTGTTTGATTTGTTAGAATCATAGAATCCTGACAGCACAGAAAGAGGCCATTTGGCCCATCGAGTCTGCACTGACCCTCCAAAGAGCATCCCAACTAGAACGAGCTCCCACCCCATTCCCATAACCCTGCTTGAGGTTTTTAACCTGGCTAATCTGCACATCCCTCGACACTACAGGGCAATTTAGCATGGGGAGAATGTGCAAGCTGCACACTGACAGTCACCTGAGGGTGGAATTGAACCTGGGTCCCTGGCACTGTGAAGCAGCAGTGCTAACCACTCAGCCACTATGCTGCCAATTTGTTCAACCAATTGCTGGGATGTATGACGTAATACACTGTTACATCAAAACTGAAACACAAACACACAGTAGCTAAGTTCTGTTGTGGGTAAGATGTCCCTTTGAACTGATGGTAGCATCCTGCTAATGGAAAATACCCTCTACTCATGCTGAAAGAGTGATTCATTGGATCTGGACTATTGTGCATTGCTCTTAAACTTTGAGCTGGAAGTTTACAGAACTACGTGGGATTATTTTAACATTTAATGTCAGTTCAGAAACTCCCTATCATTTCATGGATTAGTCCCCATCATGGACATCAGAAGCCACAGCATTGATTGAAGCCTTTAATTTGTTGAAGGAAAACAACGAAATCTTTTCTTATTTTGTTTCCATTTTAATTTTGATGACTCTGACTGGATACGTCTGGGATAGGGATATGTCCATATGCAAGCAAGGAAATTGGAGCAGAGGAGGAATAAAACTAAATTTTAGAAATACCAATATACCCCAACGTCACATCCTGACATTTGAGAATACAGGAACACTACCTATGTGCAATTGCAATTAATTTACATGAGAAAAGAAAGGCTTACATTTATCTAGCACTTTGTAGCAAACATGCCAAACTGTTTTACAGCCAAGGAAGCACTTTTTTAAGTGGAGTCAGTATGCTGTAAACCTTCAGAATTTTTTAATCAACAAGATTAACCTTTCTCTCTCGAGCTAGAAGCTATCAGCTCTCGATCTTGGAAACATTTGTGGAAAATTAGCCAATTTTTTTTGGTTCAGATGTAATCAAACACTCATGAGCTTTGAGGATTATTTGGTCCATCGATGATTGATATAAACAAAGATATCCACTCTATGAATGGTGGGTGGGCCGGAAGTCACTCCGTGTCTGTGAATCTTTGCCAACAACAGCAGCATACAGTTATGTAAAGCATTTAGTGTGGTGTTCCAAGGGATTTTAGATAGGGCGGGGAGTGTGGGGGAGGTGGGGAGAGAGAAAAAGATGAGAGATGTAAGGAACAGGTGCAAGGCCATGGTGGGAGAGCTTTAGAGGTAGTTGAATATTCAGTTGAGAATATGTTTTGTTTGTTTTGTTTATGAGAGAGCTTTTGAAGAGGAAGAGAGAAATGGGAAGGAGGAGAAATGCTGTAGGCAGGAACCAGCAGAGTGTGCGGCAATGGAAGCTGAGGTGTCTGCTACAAATGAGGGGACAAAGAGATGGGGATTCCACAAAAGACTAGAGTCTAAGGGTGGGTGGCCAGTGGAGGTAAAATAAGCCTGAAGGTGGATATATAGTTAAGATGGGGTGAGATGGCTTATGGGTTAAAGATGAGGTCGCGGTTCTCAATTTTAGTGCGCTCGGGACAGCACACAGGAATACGGGCAATTGAAAGCACTCTGTAACCAGTTCAAGTGGACATGGGTGGGCAGAGCAGAGAAGAGAGGGATATAAGGAGATCAGAACCAGATTAGGCTGTTTAACCCATCAAGGTGAAACTGTCACTCAGTATGATCATGGCTCATTTGTGGCCTAAATCCATACATTCGCTTTTGGCACATATTCTTTGACACCTTTGGCTAACCAAAATCTATCAATTACAATTTTAAAATTAAGAATTGATCTTCCATCTTTTACTATTTGAAGAAGAGCGTTCCAAACTCCAACTAACTCGTTTGTATTGAAGTGTCATATTTATTCGTTCATGGGATGTGGGCATGCCCTTGAGATGGTGACGGTGACGGTGATGGTGATGGTGATGGTGAGCCGCTTTCTTGAACTGCTGCAGTCCATGTGCTATAGGAGACCCACAGCTTCTTAATTTCAGTCCCGAAATATCTTTTTGTTAACTATGTCCTTAGTTCTAAACTCACCAACTAGTGAAAGTGGGTTCTCCCAATCTCCCTGAAATATCCCCAAACAACCCAACAAGATGCCTCTTGAATTTCTAAATTCCAGGGAATACAATTCCAGTTTATTTAATTAAGGGTCTCCAATCTGTGGGTCACGACCCCCCAGTGAGGTCACAGGGTCACAGATTCCACCCTCGGGCGACTGTCTGTGTGGGGTTTGCACGTTTTCCCCGTGTCTGAGTGGGTTTCCTTTGGGTACTCCGGTTCCTTCCAGCAGTCCCAACATGTGCAGGTTGGGTGGATTGGCCATGCTAAGTTGCCCCATAGTGTCCAGGGATGTACAGGCTAAGTGGGTTAGCCATGCAGGATTACAGGGGTAGGATAGGGGGACGGTCTGGTTAGGATGTTCTTCAGAAGATCAGTGGAGGCTCGATGGGCTGAACGGCCTGCTTCCAGTATCTTATATTTATTAATTGGGGTTGTGAGCATCCCCTCCTCCATGGCAGCCATAGTGACTGTGGAGCAGAGATCTTTTCAGGGCTAAAGTGGATGACAACACATTGCCACAATTTTGACAATCCATTTAAGGCCTCAATATCTCTAGTGGTGATTATCCAGTCCAAAGCATAATGCTTACTGTATCGCATATACTTGTGTCATTACAAAATTGGATATGTGGCTTTCAAACTCATCGTCCAAGTTAATGAATACAGTGACTTGTTGAGGCCCCAGCACACAAGCTTGTGGGACACCACCAGTCACATCCTGCCAATTAGAGTATCTGCCCATTATCTGTACCATCTTGTCACCTTCCGCTCAGCCAATCTTCTTATTTCCACCCAGTTAGATATGAGAATTTACCAGTTGCCTGCTGGAAGTCCATAGAAATAATATACATAGTCGTGCCCAGTACTTTAACCACTTCTTTAAAACCATTACCAAGCATCTGCCCTTTATAAACATATGCAACCTTCAAAAAAAAACTAAAGGATCTGTCTTTTGAGAGTTGGATTGTTTTGAACTCAAACTGGAATATCTTTTAAAGTGCCCCATTCTGCCTTGACCAACTTTAAACCATCAGCATTCCTACAGTTTTAAAAGGTGTATCTGAAATTACAATAATTTGAGGTTTCCGTAAGACTCTTGCCTGTTTTACAGTGTCGTCTGTATGATCTCCGTGCTGACAGAGAAGTAGCTGTCTATTCAAAGGATAGTATCATCTTTGGTGCCTCCAGTGTGGACTTTTCACTCAGTGGTGGGTATAATTTTAACGGCTTAAGTGGCCAATCTAAAAATTCAGAATTACATTCAAAGGCTGAAAAAAACATTGTGAATCTAAACTTGTATTTCACTCCTTTGTGTTGTCCATTCTTTTTTTTTTATTATGCACAGCTGAGCGACCTTCCCACTCCAAGATCACCGTTCTTCTTTGCTTTTTTTCTAAACTAGTAACCACCAGCAGTAGAACACCCATGTAACCAATTGAATTTTTGCAAGCAAAGCCTATTACAAGCAGAGCAAACCACCAAAGGTGAGGTGGGGGTGGAGAAAGTAGGATGTGACTATATCAAAATGGAGTTGGACGGGGAAATGAAGCACTGTATTCCCTGTGGTGACCGCCTCTCTCTAAAGGCATTGAGAGCATTGATGGACACAATGTGCTCCCTTGCTTTAATCTGTGCTATTACAACAGTGAGTACTACAACCTCCCAATGACAAAGTGACATGTCAGAACATAGTCTCATTGAATACACAAATGGAGACATGCAAATGATTGCATTGCTAGTTAAAGAGAAAATTAACATAACAGTTAGGAAGGATATTAGCTCCGGCAATGTGTAATCTGTATACGTATGGTGGGTTTTATATATAGACCCTTAAACTGTGAGGATGATATTGGGAATGTCATTAAGCAGGACATTAGAGATGCTGTTATGGATGATTTTAATCTGCATATAGATTGGGCAAATCATATTAGTAACAGTACCATAGAGGAGGAATTCCTGGAGTGTATATGGGAATGTTTTCTGGATTAATACGTTGAGGAACCAACTAGAGAACAAGCCATCCTAGACTGGGTATTATGTAATGAGAAAGGAATAATTGGTGTTGGCATGAGATTTGTGCTCATGGTTGAAATGCAAGGAAGAAAATGAGAAGCCAGCCTCCCGGTTACCTTGCCAGCTCTGTTGAAATTGTTGATGCTCTTTTGCAGTGGTGGCCTGCAGTCCCAGGGTTGACAGAGATGGCACACAGAGGTAGTGCCATCTCCCTCCAGTTTGTGCATTTGATAAGATTGTGCCAATCTTAATAGCACCCACATCCAACAGCATCTGCCTCCTGCATTAAATCTCTTTGAGTAGGAGCTGGAGGTTGGCATCAATATATTTTTGTGTTCTTCAAGATTATGCCCTGTCTTGGTGCCATCTGAGTCTACATTGATGCTCATTAATCTCTACAATCTTAATAAGACTGTTGCTGTCACATGCAGTGAAAGAATCATGTACTGATCCTCTTGTACTTGCTTGTTCTTTAGTATGCTGCTAACCTGCCTTTTTCAAGGATACATGGTAGCTCCCACTAGGCCCGCTATTTTATTTCCCTCAGGTTTAGTAATAGTGACTGCCTGAGTGAGAGGTAGAAACTTGCAGACCACTTGATGGCACAAGTTTGTGTAAAGATGCAATAGCAGCATAACTCACTTTGAGGAACTAAAAGATCAAACTGTTCACAGAAAATAACCAGCAAGGGATTCATGATTATAATTTAATTAATTAATTTACAGTGTAAGAACATCTATTGCATTCAACTCATACAAAATACAGAACACAGGCTACATGGAAGAATTTTAAAACTGTAACACAAAGGTCCATCCCTCCACTCCCAATAATAAAATAATAAAGCAGTAATATTTATTAAGCTATAAAATATAACTATTGAAAGGCCTCATAAAATATGTTTGAAAACTAATCCAATTCAAAATATTATCGGTCACTCTCAGGAATTTTAATGTTATGGGGAGTTTCCAAGCAAAATATTTTTTGTTCAGTATAACTGTGGCTCAGAACAAAAACATGTTGATGACAGCAGTGAAAAGGAAATGTCATTTATTCAAAGAGATGAGGGTCTGACTGAATTGTTCAATAAAGTTGGAGAGAAAATGCAAAAGGGATGTTTAACCAATCCATTTTTGTCCATAAGGCTTGAATAATATACATAAATGGTTCTTTCTAAAAACGGTGGTTGCTGAACGTTGAATAGTTGCACCTCAAGAGGTTCTGTATGTGTTTAGCATTGGGGACACGTGATGCCCCTGGCACCATGCTATTTGCATGGCATCAGTGCCCTCCTGATGAACTCCCCTTTGCTTTGTAGCAAAAACTGTAGAGGTGGGAAGGATTGCAGAATGAGAGCTGGGAAACTTAAGTGTTGTGGTAATGATTAAGCTCCAAGCTTTTAGACCATTGTTTGGGGAGGAGGACTTCAAAATTAAAAATAAACACCAACACTAATCATTTGTGGACTTGCCCCATCTGTAGGATTAGCAGCATGAGCCTTTGCACCACACCTGTCAAGACATCCCTCCAGTGGGGCACAGGATGAGGTAACTTGGGAGGGCCGGAGGCCACGAGAGTTATTCCTCCCCGGTTTGCTACATTGTTAAAAATGGTTCATTTTCTCCTTCTTGAATGAGGAACCTAAAGAGCCTTCCTGGAGAGGCCCAGAAAATCCAGGAGCAGTGCAATAGCTCAGGACAGACTGAATGTGTGGAGCGGCGGTTTGCCAGGCGCAGTGAAAAAATAATCTATCCTTGAACCAGCTATTTGCAATGTTTCACCTTCCCTCAGGATGATAGAGAGTCTTGTGACAGAATGCACAAGACTCTTCTTGTCATTCTGTTCTGTCGGTATGGAATGAGATCCAGAGTTCAGAATTGTGAGGGACCGAGGTTGTAAAGATAAAATGATCACCGAAGCCATATGCTTGCACTGTTCTCCAGGTCGCCTCTTGTTCGCTGGTTACAACGATTACACCATCAATGTGTGGGATGTATTGAAAGGAACACGAGTGTCAATCCTGTTTGGACATGAGAACCGGGTCAGCACTTTGCGGGTTTCCCCTGATGGTACTGCTTTCTGCTCAGGATCGTGGGATCATACACTCAGGGTTGGTGTTTGTTTTTAAAAAAAGATATGCTAAAATTATATTTATGATATTATGTCAACTTATTCTATACAATATCTTTTAAATAGTAGAACAGGTTTGTGGGGCTGAGTAGCCCACTCTTGGTCATATGTTTTTAATAATACTGTATTTTTTCACTAAACCTCAGGACTGATGATATTAAGTAAGAACATTTTGCAACTTTGCACTTGAGGAAGAGATCCAAAGTCTACTCCTCCTGTCTCAAGTTTCTCATTTATATTAAAACAGCCCCTCCAAGGACAACCCACAGTATATAATGAGGAAGTGCCCAATGCTTCCCAAAGCACTGATTACTAACGGGAGGTGGTATTTCTAATACCCCTGACAACAAATAGAAGTCACTGCTGATACCACTATTTCTCATCAACTCAGCTATTTGATTCTGGAAATTGAATGTCTGAGTGCTTAATATAAACCATAATTGAAATCTCTACACTGCAAATTTGTACAGCTCTTTGCTTAACACTGACAGAAGGCCTGTGATCAAACTGATCAATTTTGAGATAAACATAGCAGTACACGGCACACATGCATGTGCTACAAGCTTGGGTTCATGACTTTTGAAGATATGTGATTTTTGCTCGCACACATGTTCCAATGTTGCCAGCTGTGGCAGGCTATAATCTCAACCACCCATGGTTAGTGAAGACTCCTCAGCAGTTTGATTAGACTACCAACTTGTAATCATTTTCAAGCATACATTACCTGTGTCAACTTGGACCTAAGGCAGTCAAGAGACAGAAAAGCAGGACATTTTTCTTTGTTGGTAGAGTTTAACAATTTGGTCTTAAAGTTCTCAGAGTTCCTTTCATGTACCAGTGCCACCTTCTCCCCATTATGTTTCATTTTTCCCCCTCACTTTCTCCCCTTTAGATCTACTCAATTAACGCCAATCACCTGGTTAACTACTTGCTACATTAGTGATTACGCTGTGTTGGCAGCTCTGATTGTGTAATATAGAATCTGGAAGACCATAAGACATTGGACCAGAATTAGGCCATTCAGCCTATTGAGTCTGCACTGCCATTCAGTGAGATCATGGACAAAAACAAGGCATCTGCTCCCGAGATGAGGCATTCCACTCCCGGACATCCCAAATGCCCTCGTTTTTCCCGCAACATCCCCTCCACAGTGGTCGAAAACGCCCTCGATCGTGTCTCTCGCATTTCCCGCAACTCATCCCTCACACCCCCTCCCCGCAACAACAACCAAAACAGAATCCCCCTCGTCCTCACGTACCACCCCACCATCCTCCCCACTGTTTCAGAGATCCGAAACAGCGGCTGCCATCTACAATCTGACCCCACTGTCAAAGACATTTTTCCCTTCCCACCCTTATCTGCTTTCTGGAGGGACCACTCTCTCCGTGACTCCCTTGTCCGCTCCACACTCCCCACCAGCCCCACCCCCCCCGGCACTTTTCCCTGCAACCGCAGGAAGTGCTACACCTGCCCCTACACCTCCCCCCTCACCCCCATCCCAGGCCCCAAGAAGAACTTCCACATCAAAGAGATGTTCACCTGCACATCTGTTAATGTGGTATACTGTATCTGCTGTTCCCGGTGTGGCCTCCTCCACATCGGGGAAACCAAGCGGAGGTTTGGGGACCGCTTTGTGGAACACCTACACTTGGTTCGCGACAAACGACTGTACCTCCCAGTCGCAAACCATTTCAACTTCCCCTCCCACTCCTTGGATGACATGCCCATTCTGGGCCTCCTGCAGTGCCACAACGATGCCACCCGAAGGTTGCAGGAACAGCAACTCATATTTTGCTTGGGAAGCCTGCAGCCCAATGGTATCAAAGTGGACTTCACAAGCTTCAAAATCTCCCCTCCCCCGCATCCCAAAACCAGCCCAGCTCGTCCCCGCCTCCCTAACCTGTCCTTCCTCCCACCTATCTACTCCTCCCACCTCAAGCCCCACACCCATCTCCTACCTACCAGCCTCATCCTGCCTCCTTGACCTGTCTGTCCTCCCTGGACTGACCTATCCCCTCCCTAACTCCCCACCTACACTCACCTTTACTGGCTCCATCCCCGCCTCTTTGACCTGTCTGTCTCCTCTCCACCTATCCTTTACCCATCTTCTATCCGCCTCCCCCTCTCTCCCTATTTATTTCAGAATCCCATTCCCCTCCCCCATACCTGAAGAAGGGTCCAGACCCAAAACGTCAGCTTTCCTGCTCCTCTGATGCTGCTTGGCCTACTGTGTTCATCCAGCTCTACACCTTGTTATCTCAGATTCTCCAGCATCGGCAGTTCCCACTATCTCTGATTACAAGGCCTGGTGTGTGGGACTGGTGGCTAAGATATAGGAGAGTTCAGACCTTAAAGTTATTGAAATTGATATTAAGTCCAGAACGCTACAGGGTCCTCAAGTGGAAAATGAGGTGTTATTGTTCCAGCTTATGCTGAGCTTCACTGCAGCACTGAGGCAAGCCTGAGAATTAGATATTGGCCAACAAACACGGTGGTGTGCTGAAGTGGCAGGCAACTGGAAGCTCAGGGTCATTTTTGTGGGCAGAACGTAGGTGTTCTGCGAAGCAGTTGCCGAGTCTACACTTCGATTTCCTCAATGTAGAGGAGACCATATTGTGAGCAGCGAACGTAGTAGACTAGATAGTGTGAACTGCTTCCTGTAAAGACTTAATTCGATTCTCCCAGTTCCTCCGTCTCCATCGCATATGTACCAACAATACCAACTTCGACAAAGGAGCCTCTGAAATGTCCACCTTCTTCCTCAACCAAAGATTCCCCAGCACTTTTGTTGATAGGGCCCTTAACCAGGTCTGATCCATCTCCTGCACTTTGGCCCTCACCCCATCTCTTCATCCCACAACAGAGATAGGGCTCCCTTTGTCCTTACCTACCATCCCACCAGTATCCACATCAAGAAAATCGTTAGCCACCATTTCTGCCACCTCCAGCGCAATGCCACCACCAGACACATATTCCCTTCCCTTCCCTTGTCCGCCTTCCACAGGGACCATTCCCTCAGGGATGCCCCTGGTCCACTCTTCCTTCACACCCGCACCCACAGCCCCACAGCACCTTCCCATGTATTCCCCAAAGGTGTAACACCTGCCCATTTACCTCCTTCTTCCTCAGTATCCAAGGGCTCAAACATATCTTCCAGGTGAAACAGCCCATTACCTGCACTTCACACAATCTAGTCTACTGCATTCGCTGCTCACAATGTGGTCTCCTCTACAGTGGAGACTGGGTGACTGCTTTGCAGAACACCTACGTTCTGCCTGAAAAAATGACCTGAGCTTCCAGTTGCCTGCCACTTTAACACACCACCCTGTTCCCTGGCCAATATCTCTGTCTCAGGCTTGTTGCAGTGTTCCAGCGAAGCTCAGCGCAAGCTGGAAGACCTCATTTTCCGCTTGGGGCCCTGTAGCGTTCTGGATTTAATATTGATTTTAATAACTTCAGGATCTGAACTCGCTTATGTCCTAGTCCCCACCCCTACACACCAGGCCTTGTTATCAGATAGTCTGCTATTACACACAACCCATTGTTAGCCACTAACAGTCTCCATTAAAAGCTATTCACCCTCCTAGCCAGGTCGTTATCCCGCCCTTTGTCAGTTCAACTGTTTTTCTGTCTCTTTGGGCTCTATCCCCACCTATCATTTACTCCTTACCCCCTATCTTCTGCATAAAAACCCACATTTTTCTAGCTACCATCAGTTCTGAGGAAGGGTCACTGGACTTGAAACCTTAACTCTGATTTCTCTTCCCAGATGCTGCCAGACCTGCTGAGCTTTCCAGCAATTTTGTTTTAGTTTTTGATTTACAAAATCCGCAGTTCTTTCGGTTTTTATTTCGTGAGATCACGGATTTGATCTTCAATTCCACTTTGCTGCTTTTTCCCCATAGCCCTTGATTCCTTTACTGATTAAACATCTGTCTGTCATAGCCTTGAATATATTTAATAACCCTGTCTCTACTGCTGTCTGTCTTAAAGAATTCCACAGGTTCACAACTGTCTGAGAGAAGAAATTCACTGTATGTCCCCTGTTAGAAGATTTCCTCTCTGTGCTGGACAAGTGAAATTATAAATCCATTCTGTATAAACAGGTTCATGATTTTGTTAGAATGAGCGTGAGAAGAAGATCTCTCCTGTGAAAGTCAAATATTTCAAAGTGCATGAATGATCCAAAATCCAAAATGTCTTCTCCTAACAGTATTGAGTATAAACCATTAAAATGAATTTGCCTTTCTTATCAGAGATACTTTCTTATTCTGTTTTGCAGATTTGGGCTTAAAGTTTCTTGAACTTGATCACCCAATCTTCAATGAAGATCCCACTCTAGGATTTCTTGGTGTTATTAATTTGATGGCTTGACTCCTAGATCTTGTCTGTTTTAGGAAATGTGAAAATATTTTGGTTTGCGACAAATAACCAAGTCTGTAATGACAATCTAATTAGTTAAGAATTCTAATAGGAGAGTAGAGAATTATAATTTTGGTACCACCATTCAATTCAATTTACAGCAAACAAAATGTTTAGAAATAGTTGCTGCCTTTTCCAAATGCCATTCACTAATAAGTTCCCCCACTTTCTAATAATGTTTCCGTTTGTAAATTTTTCTTTAATTTGCACATTTCAAAACTTTCATGCTTCCATGCGGGGCGGGGGAGTTCAAAACTAAGGGGCATATTTTTAAAATGAGACGAGAAGGATTGAAAGGGACCTGAGGGGCAACTTTTTCACTCAGAGGGTGGTTCATACGTAAAATGAACTATCAGAAGAAATGGTAGATGCAAATACAGTTACAACATTTAAAAGACATTTGGATGGGTACATGAATAGGAAAGGTTTGGAGGAATATGGGCCAAATGTGGGCAAGCAGGTTAGTTTGGGAAACTTGGTCAACACGGACGAGTTGGACCGAAGGTTTGTTTCCATGATGTATGACTATTTGATTCTTATTCTGTTTGAGAAAAGTTATGTTTCAACAAAACCTCCGAATCAGAATGATTGATTAATTGTATTTTTGTTTTGTGGTTTTCTTTGGTCAAATTGGTGATTGCACTGGGCGGAGAGGCTCTCTAAAGAGTTGTTACAAAGCATTGTTTATGTTCTATGTTTAAAAAGAACTATATGTGAAAATCTATGGTGTGATGGTGTATGAACTAGATAATGAACAGTGTAGAGAATCTATTTAAGCTAGTTAATATGTATGTAATATATACACTGCAATTTGGATTGTGCTGAATAGGTACACTACTTATGGGTGGCAAAGTTCCCTTTTGTTTAAAGTTCAGCATGCCCATTTTGACCACATAATTTATGAGTTTTTTTTACAGAATTGTAAAATAATATTTAATAGCAGATGTCAAATCTGGAATAGGTCTATAGACAATGACTATTTGAAAACTTTACATATTGCAGCAGGAGTAATCTAAACATAAGATGTTTGAAGTCGTAACTTGTAAAATGCAATTAATGTAATCCAATGCAGTAGATTCAAATGCACTGTGAACTTTTAAAGATTTCAATTCACTTGGTGAGAAGTGCAATACTATATTACAATAATACTGAAATCTAGGCAAAAAAGTAAGGCTTTCTGACTCTTTGTAGAGTCCTTGTTAAAGCATTTCTTTTCTGTAGGACCAGTGCACAGTTTTGGTTTTGTTTACTGTACTTGTTTTGTGTATATTTAAATAGTTCTTTTGGTGAAAATTTGTGTAAATCTTTTGAAATGTACCAAAAGTTAATAAATGGCACATATAATATTTTAAATAATGTCAAATGTTTTGAGTTTTACACTTCAGATGCCAAATGATTATTTTAAATAGGGAAGAGGGTGTGATTCCATATAATTCGATTTTTAAACTATTTAAAACGAATGGGGTGATAATTTTTTAAACAGCCAGGAATTTCATTCCAGGAGAAGGGTTGATCTGAGATAAAAAGGAGTTGTATTCACCAGCAAAGGTTATCATTAACTCTGGCGGGTCCCTGCTTCTGAAAGCCACTGTGATATGAATTATGCTGAATAAATAGGCCAGCCAGTGAAAAATGTTTGAAGGAAAATTAGACCTTTTCTGCAACAAAGAATATACTGTGAAACAAAATGGGGGGAAAAAAACTTTATTTCATAAATTTTCTTAACTTAGTAATCTATTATGTTTAAAAAGACATATATTTCAAGCATGCAATGTCTGTTAATGGGTTTGACACCTTCTGACTAGTGGGTGCCAAAGGGACTGGAAGATTATGGGATTCAACGGAATAATATTAATTAGTTCAATGTTTCCTTCTGGTGTCATTTTTGTATTGATGTGCCCCTCAAAAGAACAGGTGTATTTGTTATATTTTGTTTAATGATACTGTAGAGGCCTAACGTCTCCTGAGATTTATACATAAAGGCAGACTAGATCCTTCAGCTAAAATGTACTGAAACAGACATGTTTGATAAGTGATCCCTTTCTCTCTTATGAGTCTCAACCCTTCCATTCTAATATTTATTGCAGTTTGCTCTTTAATGAATATTTATAATGTTAGTGCTACCTTTGAATCTATGTAAATTTGAACTTTGCTTTCTTGACTCTTATGATCTTTAAATATGCCTCTACATCCTGTCCCTCAGTTGTCTGCAAACATTTTAATGAAATCATTATTCAATCTCCTGCCTAAACCTGTTCTTTCCCAGGCATCAGACTGTAGAACGCCTTAGCTCCATTAATGGTTCTAAACCTAAATTTTGTACCAGCTATTCATTATTTCCTGATCAACTTTGACCTGTTGGTGTGCTGCACTCTGATACATGGCTCTTCACTTTGTTTTCTCAAGAAATAAAGCATGTGCATATCCATCGTCTGGTGTGCTTTATAATGTTGTGTCAACCACTTTATGTACATATATAGGGGTGGGAGTCATAATCTGGCAGCTAGCCTGTCTGCTTATGGGCATGACAGTGTTACAATATTGTGGTGTACAATAGTCTTAGCTCTGTAAGAGTAAATGAGCACATGGGAGCTATAATGCATTGGTAATCAATGTGTAGCATCAAAGCAAATTATCAGTTTTTATATAGAACCATACCTGACCATAGGACATCCCAAAGTGCTTTCTGGCCATTTAAACACTTTTGTTGTGTGAAAACTGTGATAACCTAGGAAACCTAGTCAATTTCTGCACAGCAAGGTTCATTAAACAGCAATGAACTAACCAGATCATTCCATTTTGGGCATTGGTTTGAAGAATTGATGTTTGCCAAGTAGGGAATCTTTAACGTCCCCTTGAAGGTGTAGATATTACTGCAGTATATCTCATCACTTGACTGTGCAGCACATCCTAAGTACCACATAAAAGCCCATCTGATGTAATAAAGACTTTAGAATGGGGCTTGAACCCACATATTTCTGAATCAACAGACAAGAATGCTGGTGCTGAATCATACCTGGCACGGTATTTGGAGTGTTATGATCATTTTTACAGAGAAGTATAAATAGATTACATCCTAGAAACAGGCCATTCGGCCCAAATGGTCCATGCCAGTGTTTCATGTTCCATCTGAATCTCCCCAAATTCTTCTTCATCAATGTATCATTGTATTCTCTTCTACCTCCTCAGCTTATGTAGCCACCATCTAAACTAGTACACCAACAGACACTGCATGTTCCTTTTCAATGTTGCCTGGACATGGTCAGAAATCACACAACACCAGGTTATAGTCCAATAGGTTTATTTGAAACCACAAGCTTTCGGAGTCTTACTCCTTCTTCAGGTGTTAGTGAGAGAGGCAGTATCAGACACAGAATTTATATGTAAAAGATCAAAGGGTCATACCACTGATGAAGATGTACTAGACAAATGTAAGATGCTGTTAAACCTTTAATCAGTTAGAAGGTTCTAATTGATTAATATGTATATGTAAATCCCCAAAGTCCTTTGAAGTCACTGTCCTGAGAGAACTAAAGGTTTTATCAGTGTCAAGAACAGGTGACATTTTAGGTCAGACAATGCATATTAGGTGTGAGGCCTTGTTTAGAATCTGTTTGTGTTTTGATTTGGAGTCAGACTGGTATTATTTCTAAATTAGGAATTTATACAATGCCACATTGACTGACTGTCTACAAATTGTGTGCTTTTTGAACAAAAATAGAATGCATCTGCAAATACAAATTCACCCCATAGATTTATGTGGGCATGCGTGTGTGTGTGGGTGGGGACGGAGAGACAGTATATGTGTGTGAGAGAGTGTGTGTGCGTAAGTGTGTGTGTGGGAGAGATTCAAACACCTGAAGAAGGAGTAAAACTCCGAAAGCTTGTGTTTTCAAATAAACCTGTTGCACTATAACCTGGTGTTGTGTGATTTCTGACCCTATCCACCCCAGTCCAACACTGGCACCTCCACATCATGCCTGGACATGGATAAAGCTGCAGAATAGAGGCAAGCAGCCTGAGAGAGACTATCCCTAAATTGGCCTGTGAGTATTTATGACTTTTCTTAATAAGCCATCAGGCGGCACTAGATTGCTGCCATCCCATCAAACAAAAAAAAGGACTACAGTGGCCTCTTTTAGAGAAATAAGGAGAAACAAACCATAAAACAAGGAAATGTACATAATTAAATGCTACTAAGATGAAAAGTCGCTAATCTGAACTGTTAACTGCTTGCCTTTCCAAAGGTGCAGCCTTAGCTGCTGCGTATTTTGAGCATGTTCTGTTTTATTACAAATACTGTGTAGAAATATTAAAAGGTTTGACAGGATAAATGCTGAGAACTTTATTTCCCTTAGTTGAGAGTCCAGAACTAGAATCCTATCTAAAATAGAGACACAGCCTCAGGATAAGGATTAGACTACTTGGGACTGAGAGGAGGAGGAAAGTCTTCACTCTAAGGGTTCTGCAGTTTTCATTGTCGACTTTTACACAGAACTGTGGGTCATCAGTCAACCAGGAACGTGGGGATATACAACAGGAAAATAGAGTTGAGATATGGTTTGAGGATGTCAGTTAGCACTGTAATATTGTTGGACTAGTAATCCTGAGATCTGGATGAACGATCCAGAGACATTGTTTCAAATCCTACGTGGTAGATGGGGAATTTGAGCTCGATCGAGTACTAATTGTAAGGTTAAAGTTAGCCTGGTTAATAATGACTGCATAACCTGTTTAGCTCATTAATGTCCTTTAGGGAAGGAAATCTGCCATCTTTAACCTAGTCTGGCTTAAATGTGACTCCAGACCCCATAGCAATGTGACAGACTTCTCAGTGCCTTTCAAAGAACTCTCTGCAGTTGTGGGTATCACACCTCCACCTGCTCAGGGACAATTAGATGGAGCTAGACAGCTGGGGAAATGATTAATTGATTGTTTGCCCACACCCATGAATGAATAAGAAAACGGTAGCAGTGCAATCAGGAAGGGGCCAAGTGGCCTCGTTGTGATGAAACTTGGTTCCAGCCGATCAGCAAAGGGTTCACTGGGTAATGGCACAGGTTTTGAGGGATTGCAGTGGGCTGTATCCATGATTCCCTGTTCACATAAACACAAGTGCCCTGTCTTGGTGTTAGCAAGAACTTAGGATCATAAAATCCATATAGTGTGGAAGTAGGACCATCGAGTTAACAGTGACCCACTGAAGAGCATCCCACGCCCCCCTGCCCTATTCCTGTAACTCTGCATTTCCCATGGCTAATCCACCTAACCTACACATCTTTGGACTGTGGGAGGAAACTGGAGCACCGGGAGGGAGCCCTTGCAGACACTGGGAGAATGTGCAAACTCAACACAGTCACCTCAGGGCGGAATCAAAGCTGGGCCCTTGGCACTGTGAGGCAACAGTGCTAACCACTGAGCCACTATGCTGTCCACTGGCCAGGCATAGTGCATTCAGCATGGCTTTGACTTGTTGCTGCTCAGTGGAAGAAGATGGGGTTGGGGTGGGGGAGGTGGTTGGAATGGGTTGGGAGTGGGGGTGTTGGAATGGGGTGGGCATTGGGGTGGGAGGGGGGGGGATGTTGGAATGGGGGTGGGCATTGGGGTGGGAGTGGGGGGGCTGTTGGAATGGGGGTGGGCATTGGGCATGGAGGTGTTGATGGGGGCGTGGCAGCTAGAATCTTTGTTGAGGGGGTGGTTGGGGGGACGGCATCCCTTTAATTGCTTGACGTCCGCGCACCGTCACAATGGACGTGACGTGCATTTAAAGGGCAGGTCTGCCACGGCTGTCGGTGCAGTCTCTGTCAGTGCGAGAGGAACTGGGCTGCGTTACCGGGCAACGTCAGGGAAGAAAAGGGGCCGCGAGCGTCACCGCGGCAACCGGAGTCCACGAAGGGAGGGCGGAGAAGGTTAACGGTGAGAAGCCGCGAGCGTCACCGGGGCAACCTGGCTTTGAGGGCGGGGCAGGAGGAACAAGGAGGCCCGGCAACTGTTACCCTTGGCAACAGCGGAGCCCTTGGAGCCGGCAGCGAGCAGCCCGAGGAGCGAGGCCTGCATTCGACTGAGGCGAGGAGGATGCGGCAGGATGTGAAGGAGCAAGCACGGCTGCTGGCCCGCTATTACCTGCAGCATTGCCTGAACCCGGCTCGGGAGCTGAGGCCGCCCAACAAGACGGCCTTCACCCTTCGCAAAGTGGCGGACCAGATGGTGGAGCAACACCAGGCCGTCTTCAGCAACATGAAGAGCCGTTTCGACAACGGCCTGCAAATGGCGGCCAGGCCGCGGAAGGCGGCGGCCGGGCCCGAAGGAGAAGCGTCGGCGGCGGTGGCGAACCCCGCGTCGGGCCGGGAGGAGACCGACACCCCTACGGCGGCGGTGGCCGCGGCCGATTTCCTGCGCCGAGTAGTGGAGGAGATGTCGGCCGACGAGAAGATGAACTGGGGTCGGGTGGTGAGCATCTTCGCCTTCGCCGGAGTATTGTGCCGGCACCTGAGGGACTCGGACATCGTCATGAACCCGGAGGCCGGGCCCAGCCCAGTGGATTCGCTGGCGGAGAGTGTGGCCAATTATCTGGGCAAGGAGCGGCGAGAGTGGATTGAACAGAACGGAGGCTGGGTAGGTTGGGGACGCAGGAGGCATCCCATAGCCTGACCTTGGCTACACATTCCTTGCTCATTTATGGAATACTTCTTTCCTGTACTCACCCCCGGTCCTTTATACTGGTTCTTTCCTGTTTTCATCTCCTCTTCCACCACCCCGCCGTCCCTGTATTAATTCCCCCTGTAACTCCTGCAACCCAGATTTGAGTGATGATTGTGGCTGGTCTAACATTGTAGAAGTGTGATCCTGTTTGACAACCCCAGCCTTCAAACGTGGTTTCATGTTAGGAATTGGAGAAGGAAGGGGCTTGTAAATGGGATATGGCTGTTTAGGCTGTTGTGGGTTAGGGGTGGGAGCAAAGATTAAACAATGCTGAGGTGTCGCACTTTTGAAGGCAAATGTTAAAGGCTGGTCATGTGCTCCCCCAAATCCCTTGAGGTTATTAGGGGACAAATGCTGATGACCTAGGAGGGTTTATACCTTTCACAACATGCCAACCAGACAAAAGACTGGATAAACTGTATCTCACTTATCCTTTCCATTTAATCTTTGTGCTAATAACACAAGGTCATGCTGCGCCAACTAATTTCAATACTTGAAGCATTCAGGCAGGATCTTTTTTGAATCCTTGTGTTTAGTCCAACTTATCCATTCCAACAAGTACAACTAAAATGACTATGGAACCTTTATTTTAAAGTCATGGAGGAGTTTTTCATGTGATTGTTTCTTCAAGGTGTTGCATATTCTGTGTCTTGGTTTAAAATGTCAATGTAACGTGTTCTCTGACAAACCTCTTAGAATTGCAAGAGTCTTAAAATGGTACAGCATATTAGGTTTTCTTAAATGGTGGTGGGCGGGGGGCAGAGATCTAGGTTAAGGGATTTTGAAATTTGTTGAAAATACAATAAATTAATACTTCCTGGTATTAAAAGGTGACAAATATTCTAAATTGTACAATAGTTTTTTGACCTATTCTCCATTTTAAAATATCTAATCTGAGCATTTGAGTCGTAAGTCAGTTGTTTTATATGTAGATTCTTGTACCTGATTCTCTAGCAATAAAAGTGCCTTAAGAAATATGGGCTAAGGAAATTTACATAGACATCTGGCAGGCGATGCGCAAATACACCAGCTGGGCTTATGCATACACAATGCATGATATTGAATGTGGATCTTGAAGCAAACACAGCTGCTTGTCTTCCCTGTTTTCTGAATGGAGTTGATTTCTATGTTGAACAGTGCTGTACTTGGCACTTGAAATCTGAGAATACATCAATCTGGTATTTTACGCAAGTGTATGTTTCTTAATGGGGTTCAAATTCTTAAAAATACAGTCCCATTGATGATTTCTCCTTATTTGTATACAGTTGTATTTTCTTTTTGCAAGAGACTTTATGCATCAGAATAGGGAAGGTAAATGCTGATGTTTGAAGATATTTTAGTGTGTAATCTGGTTGAATTTCAATGCACCTTTTACATGGTGTTAAGACATGACAATTTAACCTTCAGAATTAGGGCTGTTTCATTATTTGTAAAGTTGTTTGTCTTTCATGTTCTGCCTCCCTTTGTTAGTGTTCCAAATATTAATAGCAATATTAGACTCAAATGGAAATAAAGGGGTGAAGTTGTTTTGATTAATGTAAACCTGTTCTCTTTGTCTTAACAGGAGGGATTTCTCAGATTCTTTGGCAGTGATGACCATTGGCAAGAGTCAACAGTACGCAACATGCTGATAACAGTTGCTGGGTTTGGCATAGCTGGATTAGCTTGCCTTCTTGCTGTCCGATAGACTGGTGCTTCTAACCAATTGGAACAGTTGCTAACATCTAGACGATATAAATTTCTCAGCACAATGTTTTTCATTTATATCTCCATTTCTAAGGTATTTTTGGAGGTTGCCATTGTGTGCGACATTACAGCAAGAAGTCTGAAGATTTTCAAAACTTGTCTGCAGTTTTGCTAGTGTTATGTTTGTACACTTAAATTTCATTTAATATACTGCCTACAACACAACCAAGTATGTCAATGTTTTAAAAATTCTTTAAGAATAGGGCTTGAAAAAAATTACGGTTTTAGCCAAATTATAGAAATTAGCCTCTTTCTACAGCCTAGTTCTGTTCTGAGGATCTCAAAGAATTGCACTAACCTGTTTAGTAATCCAGATATGACAAAGCATAGCCAAATACTTTGACTTCGTCACAAAAGACTTGTCTGTACGGTCTTTTTTGCAACACAATCAGTTAAGGCAACTGACATCTTTTTCCAAAATTTAAAAGAAAACTCCTATTACAAATTGAAAGGTTCCTATGTATATGTCCAGTACTATTAGTTTCTCCTCCTGTTCAATGTTTCTGTCATTAGTTTGGTCTATGAAAGACCATTATTATAATTTTATAGTAATGCTTGTTCAATCTTTTCAATTTTAAACAATAGCCACAACTTTAGTGAAATGGTATTTCTATATTTATGTACAGTGTAAACGTTAGCCAGCAAATCATTGCAAGCAAAGTAATTTTAAAATTTTTCCACTAGCAAAGTGTTAATTCTGTACTGTATCAAAGTTGTATTACATTGTTCATGCAAGTTAGAATTTTGTGAGCAATTCAGTTGTGGAACTTCACTGGCAAGATCGCAATTTAAACTTCCCATCAAATATTAAATTGCATAATATTTATTTTATTAAAATAAAATCATGCTGTGATTTTAATCAGCTTTTGATAAGCTTGGTTTACCTGAGTGTTTATCCTTGGTGCATGGAACTATTAATATTTGTGTTTCCCCTATTCTTTGGGATATTCTCAGACACAGGATGTCAAGTTTTTTTGTTTGAGCAAAAATTCCTTGCTGTGCCCTAATTATTTGAAAGTAGTGGTAGAGGAGGAAGCACTGCTTTTTTTCAGGGTTTCCTGTATATGTATTACATTACTGTCTTTGGTTTTTTCCAGCTCTAGCTATACATATGCCATTTGGGTGTAATGTTTGAATAAGCAAGCAATCCTACAGTTTCACGCATTTTACATTTTTAAAATGTAAATGTGCCTAAGTTTTAACTTCCCCAAATGTGATGGTGTGCTTTTGGCTGAAGTTGGTTGTGACTGGTCTGTAATGCTAAAATGGCAAAACCAATGAAACTTGCAAATTCTGAGGTTGTGCGGTAGCACTTGATTAACTTGTTTTATTCAAGTGACTGTGTGAACCTTGATATGAATACAGGCATATATTCTAACCTCCTCGACCACAATAGGCTTTGCCTTCAAACTTGTTGCTATTTTACGGTACTTTTAAACCAGATGAATCATTGCAAGACACTTCACAAGAGCCTTGTATTATAGTCAGTGACTCAAATCTCCTGATTGGTCAGAAGGCCAAAAACTAAAGGAGGAAAGAGAAGGAGAGACCAGCATGAACCAGAACTGTCTACAATTGAAGGTGTAAAGCACAAGTGGAACCACTTAAATTTGATGCTCAAGAAGAGGTCCAGATGGAGATGAGGGAGGAGTGAGACCATGAGTGACTTGAAAGCAAGGTTGCTTCTCTAGGTGCCAGTGTAGGTAAGTTAGTACAGGAGCAAAAGTGAAATCAGGCAGCAGAGCTTTGGATGAGTTCCAAGTGTCTGGAGGGGAGAGTATGCAATGATCCAGTCCATGGAGTAGCTGAACTTAAATGGGCAAAGATTTTGGATCATATTAGAGCTGGATCTAGGCTGTCTAGGTGACTTTATAAATTGCATCAAATGCTTGTCTCCAGTGACATCGCTGATCAGACTGACATATGCAATGACAACAGCCTTGTCCCCAGCTCTTAATAGTTTTGCATATAGCTTTGAACTGCTATAATTAACCTGACAGATCTAAGAATGCATATGATTTTGTCAGTTTAGGGGAGAGTTGAGGAATGCTTGATTGCTGAGTAATCTACTTTATTTTCACTTATACTTTTATAGTCCTGTTGCCCAGTTGACTATATATTCAAATGTTCCAATGAACAGCTGACCTATTACCTAGCACAAAGGAAGATAAAATAACCAGGATGTTGCTTCAGGATTTGCTGCTCATGATATCAGAAGTGAGGATATATCAACGAAACTTGGATGATGAATTTGATATTGCAATTGCTGAATTCCACACCAAAACACTCCACTCCAGGACAAAGCAGTCACTTGTTCTACTGTCAGTGTGTAGAGACACTTCTTTTGCATTTATAATTCACTTTGAAATCTCATTGGAGAAAATTTCTCATTCAGCAATTTGTCAGATTTTACATGTGTTAAGGTAATATTTTAAAGAAAAATGAACACCAGCCAGGCTAATCATTAATAAACATCTAGAGAGGTTTATACTCTTAGGACTCCACCTCCAATCCACTATCTTGCAACATTGATGCAGTCCTTCTTGATGGTCTTGCAACAACATATTGTGATAGCCTTATGTGCAAAGACTGCCTAAAATCTGCATATTAGCAAAGCTGGTTTGACATGAAATAAAGGATTTTTTCCTGAAGAAAAGCTGGTTGAGAACCAATTTTCACTGGCAGGTGAATTGTATTATTTTGAGGGATTCATTTGATTTAAGGCAGTGTGGTAGTTCAACTCACTTACTTTTAAATCTTGATCACTGCTAGAAAAACACTGACTGAAAGGTAAGTCTCAAAGCTGTACTCTGGAGAATTTGCTCTTAGTTGTGTATTTCCAGGTTCTTTTCTTGTAAAAGAATGGAAAAATCATGAAGTTTCCCGTATGCTATTTCCTACTTTTCTCCCTCTCCCTCACAGAATCTATGATGGGGAGTCTAAAGTCAAGAGGGAATTTGTGAAAAGGAAAAGGAAACTTGGACTTGTAGCTCATGCATTTCTTAGGTCAATTTCAAACATTGCTATATGACTAACAAAATCTATTGCATGTATCCTGTTTGTGCCATGATAGTTTGAAATTTGAGAATTTTGAAAACATTTCAATAAATCCAGAGCTCCAGTAATGATGGGAATTATTGCAACAATATTATCCACTTTGGGTTAGATGTCCATTGTTTGTGGAATTAACATGTTGACAGTTTTAAAAATTCTGCTGTAAATGGTGAGTTTTGGGGAAATTTGAAAAATTTTTGAACTTGCGGATCAGTGAGCACTGGTCATGAGCGATGGATTTTTGTTAATTATGCCTGGATCAATTTGATCTACTGAATCCTCTTCCAAGGACAATGAAAGCAACCAATGGATGTGTACCTGAGGCATTGTCTTGAAAGGTATGTTGAGTGGGATATATATTCAGTTCTAACTGCAGAATAAGTACTGTATTTTATCAAGTAGGTGATGTGGTGATGAAACAAAACAGCTGCAGCAGACATGAATAATGTGGGAAAGGTCATATTTCCATAAAAAGACTTTCATTTATACAACATCTCAATTTCTCAACAGCAATATGATAATGACCTGAATGTGATGTTAGTTGAGGGACGCTAAAATTGTACCATGGGATAAACTCACATTCTAGCTATTTTTTCGTCTTTTTATTTTTTAAAAAAAAACTTTTCACCAACTTAAACTGCTTTGGAGTGTCGCCTTGGGTTAGTGCACTCATTTCTGAAGTGGGACCTGAATCATTGACTTGAAGGCAAGAGTGCTGTTAACTGAAATCTGTGGTTGCCCCAGGAATGTTGAGCTGACACCTGGCACTGCTGTAGTGTGGTCTCATGTCAAGTTTGTGTGGGAATTGTAAAATTCTGACCCACTTACGATTATATCTAAATGAAGCTGATGGGGAAGTTGAAGGTCAGTGTTGCTGCTCCTGTTTTATTTTCCATGCTTAAAGTCTCCGTAGGAGTAGTTACTGCAACTTGCTATTGTGGCTGTCTGTCTGCAATTGCCATGCATTGATTTGGGAACTGGATATTGGAGCCACTGGCAAAGGTTATCAGGATGTTTGTGTTTCCTTATGCTGCATACTTGTCATACTAGCTTGAGTGATGTAGACAATGGAGAGGCTTTGAGGGGTCAGTATGTAGATCAATCATTGCCATGTAATCAGCAATATGGCAGAAGCAGAGTATTATTGAATGTACAGTATGGAGCTGGAGGAACACAGCAGGCCAGGCTGTATCAGGAGCAGGAAAGCTGATGTGTTGAGTCAGGACCCTTCAGAAAATTTTCCCAAAACGTCAGCTTTCCTGCTCCTCTGCCTAGCCTGCTGTGTTCCTCCAGCTGCACGCTTATCTCGGACTCCAGCATCAGCAGTTCTTTCTATCTATTATTGGCAGTGTTAATCCTAACGCTGATGGTGGGAACTTGGTAATTGGTGTGCCATTGAAAGTCAGGTAGTGATAGTTGATTCTTTCTGGTTGGTAATTAGTTAATATCAACTGCATTCAAATATTAACACATTAACCTAAAACTTTTCAATGGAGAAATAAATACCAATTAGTTTTAAATAGCACAGAATCATACAGAAGAGACCCTTATTGGCCCAACGTGTTCGTACCACCAAAAATACTCTGCCTGCACTAGTTCCATTTTCCCTACGCTTAGCCCATAGCATCTAACTAGAGATGCAAAATATTGTGCATCTTCAGCCAATAGCCACTCTCTCAGCTATTTTTGTAATGCCCAGCATCAGAATGCAAAGAACTTTGAATTGATTTCCATCTAACTAGTATGAATGGAGCTGAAAAGTGGAATTGTCACTTGCAATAAAACCTCACTACAGCTGATGTGTTCGACAACCTCACTCGTGGCTGCAATGATTGGTCCGAGATTGCTTGATTGGTTTTTTGCAGAGTACTGAGATATCAGAGGATATAGTGGCAGCATAACGTGACTAGAGAACTGGAAAGGAGCAGAAGGTAACGGGATCTTGAGAATGCGTTTGTTGATTTGATAACTTGTAGCAGGTACTTTGGAGTGGCTCACTGAAAAATTAAACAGTTAGAATCAATACACAACTGTTGTCAGCCAAAACTCCAGCCATTCATTCCTAATTGAGTGTAAGTTTGTCAAGCTCATTAATAGCATACCTTTTCAAATGCTGCTTAATATTAAAGGTAGTTACTATCTTCTGCAGTTAAGTTCTTGTGCCTCAATCATGACTTTGATAGTGTGGAGCCATCTGGTTCTGGTAGAGCATGAACCGATGCCAATTTATTAATGAGTGAATGTGACTTGATACTATTACTGATAATTTCAGTTGAATTATTTGTTAGATCCACTTTGATATCCTACTGAGTGAGCTTGTATAGGTGTAGGTTCTGTGCTCAAGTTAGGTTGTCAGCACCACAGCTAGGATGTTGTCAAAGCTCAGGGCTGAAATTTCCTAACCCTGCATTAGACCATGAGTGCTTGTGAAAATATGGGGAAGTACTTCTGCTGAGGAATTTCTTGGGTTGAGATGCAAACAAAGGGGTGAGCTTGATACAAGGAGATGTGAATTTGCTTAAGCCAATGAAGTTCCCACTTCAGGGTCACTTTTTTTTTTCTAAAGCTAACAGGCAGTGCTGCTTACAACAGGAGAGCACTATCTGTAGAGGTGGCGTCTACTTGGAGGTGGCCATCTATCAACACGCTATTTTGGCTTTGGCTCTGGCTCAAATTTTGTGAAAGAAACCCTCCACCCCCCAACAGGGCAAGTCTTTCCCTTGCTTCGACAATCTACCACCTTCCAATTTATAGAAGATATGAGAGATCTCCTTCGTACTGAGCCATCCTCACTTTCTCCTTTTT